AAATGAAAAAAAAAAAAAAAAAAAAACNGTCTGCGACGTCGCAAATCGAGTTATGTGATTGCCGACTTACACCGTCGATATAGCCTGTAATTACGGAGGGTATGGATTCGATCGACATTCGCGAATCGATCGAAAAATGAAAACGCGAATCGATTGTCGCGTGATTCGGTCGATTCACGGAGTTTCCGATCTATTCGCAGGTTTTTCGAACGATCCACGGATGTTTCGATCGATTCGTGATGTTGTTGATCAATTCACAGAGTTGTCGATCGATTCACGAAGTTGTCGATCGATTCACGGAGTTGTCGATCGATTCACGGAGTTGTCGATCGATTCACGGAGTATTGTCGATCGATTCTCGGATCCGTCGGTCGATTGGCAGTTGTCGATCAAATCGGTGTCGATTGAATCACGTCGATCAGTTCACGTATTTATTTTTCGAACAATGCATGCCGATCGGATCGCCAATTCGAATGCCGGTTGGATTTAACAGAAATGAAAAAAAAAAAAAAAAAAAAAAAAAAAACACTGAGAAGTATCCAAACTGTGTGTAGCAAGGTGGAGACATGGCAAATTCCTGACACATGCAAGAGCTCTATGACACTCTGGGTGTCCGGACGCATTTCGCACGGAATTGTGGAACCTCACGTTCGCAATTAAACCGGGTGATTCTGGCAACAATTGGCGGAACAACGTGCATACAATGTCGTACATCTGTCCGTCTAAAACTCCTTAACGCCGAAAAAGAGTTAGCGAGCACCTAGAAAAACATCACTTAGGCTGATGGCTCTTCCGCCGCCCCGCCGGTGTTCATCATTTTAACTGCGAGGGGATAACTTTATCGTCCGGGACCGCATCCAAAGAGGTTATAACGGAAATAAGACGGGTTCACAGTAAAGTTCAGGTTACGCAACTGTGCGTATTTATTGTGCCGCACAGCTACCGTCTCACAAGATGAAACGTCCGTTTTATCGCGCGGCCAAATTGAATGCTCAGGAAGAACGCCGTATGACCCTTCAAACGTTGCCGAATGTCCTGTAATGAAGAGAAAATACCTCGGGAAACCTGCGAAAATATATCCTCTAATTTCACAGTGAAATTCACCGGCGATTTGATCTGAATTTTTTGAAACTTTCAGGGAAAAATATTCATGACTATCCGGAAAATACACATTTTATCGGGGGAGATTTGACAACACTCGGATGTTCCTACGTCATTTTTCCACAGTACGGCAGTATAGTAATTATTCCTGGATGCAAACCGCTCTTTTTGTAATTTGGCCCTCGTATATCATACCGAGTGACTTTTGTTTAATCATTTCTTTCGAGACACGCTGTAAGTTGAGCACTTGTTTCTTAAGCGGAGCGTAAATTACGCTGTAGAAAATTTTGGCGTTTGTTGCCATAGCAACGATCATTAAAACGGTTGAAGGCACCTAAATTAGTCCGCAGAATCGCGTGTATTTGCGATTGACTGTTACAGATCAAACTCATCAGTTTTGTTACTTCATGGTAGGCACCAAAAATTTTTTGCGAATGCTGAGGGAAAATTTCATTCAAAAATTATGCGCATTAGTGCTGTAGAAGGTATCTTCAACCGCGCTCGTAGGAGTCGGACCAAAAAACTACAAAAGGAATAACAAATTTCACCAGGCTTTACTACCCCGTAAGATTTAACCGTCTAATTATAAGATTTTCTGACAATTAAAACAAACCTAATAGCTTCCATATCACCTACAGAGATACATATCCCAAACTTCGTAATTAAACAAGTTAAATCGGAGAGGTATGCAAAACTTACTTTCGGGAACTCAATTTTTGCTCAGAAGTAGCATCACTTAAATTCTTGCCGAGTAATGACAAATGAATGTTGGAGTGAAAAATTTGCTCAGAGAGTTTGAGAAACTCGATGCTATTTGCCAAAAAAATGTTGTTGAACATGTCAATCATCGGTTTTAATGGGGTAAATTTACTTTTGATTGTTGCCAATAATTTCAGAATTATGTGGAACCACTTATTCGAGGTCTCTGATACTTAAGTCTAATATGAGAAATCAAGTGGTCAATAAGGCGTGAGTTCCATCCCTAGCCCCAGCCTTCAGTTTACTCCGGAGTTTCCCAGTCTCTTCGTTGGTATTACCGCTAAATTCACCGCAAACTGTACCAAAATCAACGCGAAATTTTGGTTCCTTTGTGTTTTACTTCCTATATAAACCAAAAGCAACACAAGAGCACCAATATTTTGATCAGTGTAAGAGCTACAACTTTTTCGTTCTTGTGGGCTTTCTTCCCTTTACGCAAGGCACAAAGAGATGCTACTGAAATATGCATTCGTCTCTCCTCATAAATTGAAACTGGTTCGAAAATTTTGAAATGTCAGAAAAAACCAATTTTGACGGGGTGATTGCTTTCTCTTAACACATTCCTATGTCCCTATACGCTTTGCAGGGTAATAGAGTGTGTGTGCTTCCTAACACATTCCTATGTCCCTATACGCTTTGCAGGGTAACAGAGTGTGTGTGCTGAGTTCCAAGCTATTTTACCTGAAATAGATAAATTTATCAAAGGAAATTTCATTCTGAGTGAAATAGCGCAAATATGCGCAGAAATGAACCACAGGGAAAATATATTTTGATGCATTCGCATCAACATCAAAGCGATTTCCTTTGGAGACGCATTTATGAGTGAGAATGATTTTAGCAAAATAAGCAAGACCCGTTTGTTTACTTTGACTGCAATCATTGCATGTCACCTTCTGGAAGTTTAAGAGGCATCTTCTGCTTCTGTTATGACAGAGGACAGAGGTATTTGTTTCACTAGTATGTTTGCAGAGAGATTTAAAGTAGTGTAGTTATGAGCGCGCAGTGGGTACAGCGGTTTTCTTCAAACCCAGTTTTCGAGTAAGGAATAGAAAATTGTAAAAACAAGTTTGATTAGCCTTAGAGATCAACCGTAGTCCTAATAATCACCGATTTGACCTAAATTGAATCCCTTTCCATCTGGCAAAAAGCTACAAATGTTTGCTCCGATTGTCTGAACTTATGTCTGACTATTGTATAGGGGTTATCAACAATAGTAACTTGAATGGAAATACATCGCTACCATCAAAATCCTCGTTTGAAGCTATAAAATCATTGATTAAAAAACTAGATTTTTAAACATCGAAAGCCGAAAATCCTAGAATAAATCGCTATTACCGACCGCATGGATGATGTTTCTTGGCCTACCTCGAAAATTGAAGGCAAACCAGTGAGTGTGCAACTTTCTCCTTCCTTCCGTGTCGCAATTCCGCCTCCTCTAAACATTTCCATTGCTGAATCGGCAGTTTTCAAAGCTAAAAATTCAATTATTCGATTTCACACGATACATGCTAAGATTTCTGTGTCTCTGCCCACTGTGCGCCTCACGGATTGATTCTCGGTGTTTGGAAAGCCACGGCCGTGAAATTGAGTCACAAGCATGATCAAATCCGATAGAAACGCCGCTGAATTTATTTTGGCAGCGACTGTAGGGGAGTTTATGAATGGAATTTTTCAAGAATCACCTCAGTCCCGCCTGATGACGCAGACATATTTTCACCGGAACCTTGGCCAAAAATTCTACCTTCTCCACAACGTACACATGTTGTTCCGTCTTAGGAGTGATCGGAAATTGCTCCTCAGAAATCACCCTGAAAATTATCGCTATTTTGGTGGCGATAGTAAAATGAACCATATTCAATAAGAAGGAGCCTTATCATTCTGAAGGAGGAATCGCTCTGCTAAAAGCGGTTGGCAGACGTTCATACATTACGTATGCTTGACCTTAAAAGCATCGAACTATTTCTATCTTGTTAACACGGAGGGAGTGCATATTTGTACTTTTATTAGGATTGGATCTAGCTATTCAAATTATTCACACATCTATTTTTAGACTGAATACAGTCCATTCTATCTCTTCTGTGCAAATGGTTTTACTATCAACTTAAAATTCATAATATAATTTTTTTATATGTAGCCCTGCTAAAGGCATCCACTTCCCAAATACATAAAATTGTTCCTCTAACTTGTCTCATCATACTTTAATTGAATTTATCTATGTTTTGAGAAAAAAGAACAGTAAATCTAGACTTAGAATCCAAGTTTTCCTAGAAAACTATGAGCCCGAGACAAAATCAAGAATTCTAAAAAAGCGAAAATCAATATATGGACATTGGGCCGCAGAAATGATTAGACTTTTTCTTAAATTATTCATTGTGCACTTCTTATCGACGCAACTAAGAAGAGCAATAATGGGTCAGTTGCGCTGGTCACAGACTTGCGTTTTGATGCTTGATTATTGTAGATAAGCTGAAAAAATAAGATTAGGCCTGACAGCAACTTTCTACGTTCAATATCAACAGAGATATCGCGCTTTGAAAAATTAAAGTATACAAAATAGTATAGTATTATGAAATAGTAAAGTATAGTAGTAAAATTATAGTATATGACGTCATCCACCGCGAGAGTGACACCCCTGGTTTCTTCCACCTTGCTTCCATCCGAGTTTCACGTCGAGTAACCAGTGCAAATATGCGTTACACTGACTGTTGAAAACAAGGTAAGAGAAACCAAGGGTGTCACCACCGTGATGGATGACGTCAAAGACCCTACTTTCGCAAAGCACGATATCTCGGTTAATATTCCAAGTAGAAAGTTGCTGTTCGGACAAATCTTATTATTTTTAAGGTGATCTTCAAGAATTAGGTATTACAACACGATTCTGTTGTGACCAGCGCAACTGATCCATTATAAAATTCAGTGGCGTGGCGTGTTTTGCAATATATCGAATGTTATGCCATTTGAACCTATGGAAGAGGATCGACAAACAGGGTTCTCGCAGCGAACACCTTAGTAACCGATTCTTAACCATAGATTTAAATGGCATAACAATCGATGTTTCGCAATTCACGCCACGCCTCTGATCAAATTTAACCGTTTTACTCTTGCCATCGATCTAATTACATTCAATACGTATGTTTCAGATAATGGTAGATGTTTAGGATGGAGAGACCCCAACAGGGGGCACTTTCAGTGGATTCACTACAACGAGGCCCTACTAAAAGCCCGAAATTTCGGCTCGGGGCTTGTAGCACTAGGCTTACAGCCAAATTCTCAAACATTCTTAGGTTTATATTGCACCAACTGCCCTGAGTGGATCTTAACCGAGCAAGGTGCCTATAGTTACTCAATGGTCATCGTGCCTCTCTACGACACGTTGGGACCAGATGCCTGTGCATACATCATTAATCAGGTTGGTACGCTTTAAAAGTATCGCTATACGTCCAGAGGATTCTTCGGTGAGAAGTATCTCTAATGGTAATTTTATCACTGCATAACGGCAATGAGTTGGCGTGCATTGCGATATATATGTCGCAGGTAATTAGCAATCGCCAACACTTTACAAGCCAGTGGTGAATAAGTATCGAAAATCATGAAACTCAAAAATTGAAGAACAACATTAGAGTGCTGATTATGTTGCCTACGATGTGAACAGACAATTTTCCATCCTTAAAAACATGGCAGGAATATGCGCACTTAGAAAATCGTGTGGTGAACTCCGTGAAATTAGTTGGGTTGAGATCGGATAGGCAACTATACTAACATCGTGACAAAGCGTAGAATATCACAAAAAATGAGGGCGTTTCAAGCCGAGCTCATACTTTTGAAGATCACAACCTTTAAAACTTGCATTATGCTGATGCGCATTATTGCGATTCATTGAAACAACCTGTGAACCGATTGCAAATTGCCAGCGATTGCTAATTGCCTGCGATACATAGATTGATCTGCCACTTAAACCTATGGGAAAGGTTCTAAAACAGGGTGTTCGCAACGAACACCTTGATTCTTAATCATAGCTCCAAATTATCGATAATCGAGCATTCATACCTCACTAGTGTCTAACTAGAAAATCAACGATGACTTCTGACTAAAAAAACCGATCTGGTGTCAATATACCGTCAATATAGTATGAACTTGGTTAAAAATACCACCATGAAACAAGTATGTTACCGTAATAATCCCAGCGGGGTATAATATTCCGATCTCAGTAAGATACCGCATTGGTAATCAATTGTCACGATGTTAGCTTTCATCATTATGCTTCATTCGTTACACTGGGAAAAAACACTTTGGATCTAGAGTCCAGACTCTTAAAAACATCGACAAGAAAAAGTACTCTTGATTCCATCAGAATTTAGCTTAAATCAAGAACCAAGTCTCTTGATTTAAGCGGATTTCGTTTTGATTCAAGCAAAAATCCGATTGAATCAAGAGTATTTTTTCTTTTCAATGTTTTCAAGAGTCTGGACTCTAGATCAAATGTGTTTTTTTTCCAGTGTAACATAGTAATTTTTAACAGGAATGTATTGGTCTCTTGCGCATATTAATTGACACCTCACATTGTGGAAACCATAATCATTGAGTGATTTTAAATTAATGTAAGCTTATTATTGGGTTGTCAAGCGACTTGGTTTTGACTATTACTTTCGCTTCTTCAAAACCAGATTTTACTTACAGATACTGCTAGAATCCTTCTGGAGATTTTACTGAATCCAGTGCGTTAAAGTTTCCCTCTTTTAACATAAAATCTCAGAATTGTCAATCCATACAAAAAACGTTTACTGCCTTTGGCAATTTTGAATTGTTGCAATGGGTTATCCCCGATGTAACATTGATTATAAACAATTATTCAAGATAGTTTCTGGTTTTTTGCCCTTATACAATTTTTGCCATTTCGTTGTTCATAATGTTGCCATATTTTATGGTTGTGTGTAATTGTTTCTGGTGTATTTTACAGGCAGACATGAGTGTAGTAGTAGTGGAGGATGATTCCAAGTGTAACCAACTATTAGATAGGGCGCCGCGGTGTTTAAGGAGACTGATAGTGATCAAAGACACGAGACCGGCCACAAACCAGCGAGCCAAGAATCGAGGAATCGAAGTCCTCAGGTTCGAGGATGTCGAGAGACTAGGAGCTTCCAAATCCTATGCAGAGGTGGTAAGTGTCCAATCGACTAACGACAATACGAGCTCAACACGTTTTATTCCAGAACATAAGATATCCGTCCAGGGGCGGATCCAGTAATTTGGCAACACAGGATTTCCTCCATTTAAACCCATGTTAAATAATCGATTATTGTCGGAGCACCTGGTCCCTCCAAGAATCGATACATTTCCACAGGTTTAAATGGATTAAAAACAATTTTGTCAATTTGCTGGATTCGCCAATGTATCCGTCGATTGATCGCGTCAGACTCGAAGCATTAAGAGATAGTTATGTACTACGATGAGGTTCGCTTCGAGTTGATTTGCCTTCATTTACAAGGTAGGCAAAACAAGCATCAATGAGTAGCAATAACTTGATTTTGGTATTCTGACATCACTTCCCGACGCATTCTTCACGCTGGGGCTTTTTAGATTTAATAAAATCGATATTGTTAAAGTTGAATGAGAAAAACTCCCGTCATCCAATCTTGATGTCGTATCAACTTCAAAACAACGGTCCCAAACAACAATTATCATAAATTTTGCGAGGTATGTTCGTCTCTCGAACACGAATAAAATAGTAGTGGGCTTGACAAATTAATTTTAATGGTCCTTAGAGCCCATCTCACGTCCCCAAAAATGAAATCGTGGTAAACACCTTAGACCGAAACCATCATCAGTTTTGATTTTTTTTTTTTTTTTTTTTTTTTTTTTTTTTTTTTTTTTTTTTTTTGAATAATATCCCTCTTCCCGTAAACATTAGCAAAGTCTATTAAACGAAGCAGAATTCTAATCATCGTGTACCATAATCTCCTTAATGTTCGTCGAACACCTGAAGGGTCGAAGAAACATGCGGAAGAACATGAGTTGTGACAATGGGAAGCAAGGTACAGACGAAGAGAAGTCTCGAGACCCCACTACGACATGTTTTCACTTAAGTACAAGGCCACTCATCTTCCGCACCGAAGATAGTCGTTGATCGGTTATTTACGGCTTCTCTTGGTGCAGTTAGAGATTTACGGAGTCCGCCCTGTCCGGCCAGTGGCGATTCCACCAGGTTGGCAACACTGTTAATACTCCATTTAAATCCATTGAATATATCGATCCTCAATAAGGCAAACTGCCTCACCTAGAATCGATTGTTCAATTATAGATTTAAAAAATGAATTGGATGAATGGCCACTGTGCCCGGCAACGATGAATGGACGACACATCTGCCTTGCTAAGGAAGAACGCCGTATGAGCCTTTAGACGTTGCCAAGTTTCCTCCAACAAAAACCGAAAGTACTGGGAAAATTGTGGATATTATTTTCTCAAAATTTTAGACCGTTTTGTACACAATTTAATCTAAAATATCTAAAAATCTCGAGGAAAAATACGCATGGATTTTGTCAAAAATACAGGTTTTATCGAGGGAAATTTGGCAACTCCCGAATGTTCATACGGCGTTCTTCCTCAGCACGGCAGACCTCTGCTCCCCAGAGAGCGCCGCACACGGAGCGAGTCAAGAGGAGAAGTCGAACAAGATCTGGAAACGTTGAAAGCTTATATTTTCGAAAATATATGTATCAACAACAGAGAAGTTTAAGGGTGGTTCCATTGATTTTTTCGTGAGATTTCCTTTCGACAGCACCCTTTGAAATTGAATTTGTGACGGAATGGACATGAATATTTGAAATTTTAGTCACAAATTTCATGTGCGACCTCTTCTATTAGTTCGTTCGGCTGTGCGCCGGGGTGGCGCGCGGCGTGTCGGCGCGCGAACCGAATAAAGGGCGGATGTAAACCCGTAAACCAATTAAAGGATCATATTTTTAGATGGATAAAATCGTACTCTCTGCCGCACAGTTGAAAGGAGTCGCATTTTAGCGGGAAAACTTTGAACCGGTTCATATTTCCCCCGTCGAAAGAACGTAACTCCATGTCAACAATTCCAAATTCCCACTCACAATATTTATTTTTACTCGGAGTCTACGAGACATTTTTTACTGAATACTTAACCAATTTTTTGATGGATGGGTTTGGAAATCAGCGAAATTTTTGGCGGCCATTGCTCTGTCATTTTTGTGTAAAAACAATACTTTTCAAGTAGATTTTCCAACCTTGGAATCGAGTTAAGTGCCCTAGTCTGGAAAACGGCCGCTCACCCGCGCTTAAAATCCGCGCCTGCCTACGTAATCAAAGTTGCCAAAAATATAGTTTCAATAACGGGTCCCTAACACCCTGACACTTCCGAATCTGAGAAAATTCCTGAAAGCTTAATTCTCTCCCTACTTTTGGAAAAAAATTAAGAGGAATGGGTGCCATTGATACATGTTTACACTATAGTCCTGGGCTGTGGTATAAGCATTGGGGGATCCAGCAAATTGACAACACCGGATTTTCTCCATTTAAACCTATGGAAATTTATCGATTCTTGGAGGGGCCAGGTGCTCCGACAAGAATCGGTTATTTAGGTTTAAATAAAGGAAATCCGGTGTTGCCAAATGGATAATTTGCAGGTGTCTGAAATTTTGTGCATTTCATCTTTAATATGATACCAATTGCTAGGAAAACTGAGCACGAGGATATCCTTGATTTCTGAGTCGAACAATTATTAGAGAAAATTTGACAGAATAACCTAATCTGCTGAAATACACGTGTTTAAATGGAAAATGCCGCTGGATGACTTCACAAGGCGGCACATTTTCTCAATTTGAAATATATTTTTTTCCAATTCCCCACGTCAGAAAAAATTAATGAATAATACTGCGAATTCAGCTCGTTAGGCACTCTCAGATGAAGCAATACAATTTTTCCGTGCAAAGTCTCCATTGCTGGATCCGCCTCTGGGTATAAGCTACAGTGAAAAAAATTCACAGCCTTTTGTGGTTCTCTTGCAGTTTGAAAAAGTGACTTTATGCTCTTCAAATTACATCTGCCTCAACCACGGACTCAGAGATGATCATTGGCTGAATTCGTGTACGAATTTGACCAGTGTGCGCTGGAGAGATGTCGCGTGCCAAAAGTTGGAAATTTTGTGTGTCACCGCGAATTACGGTCCGACGCGTCTCGTGTTTGTCGCCCTTCGACCTGTCTGCGCCATTGTCTAATAGAGCAGAATTTTGTCGAGGCTTTTGCACCAAAATTTAAAAAACGTTGATGCATCATAACAATAACAACCGGTAAATCGGAGCGGGAGGACCCATGGGCATACTTTTCCCGACCCCTTTAGCCCATTCACGAAAAAAAAGGATTGATAATTTATCAATTAAATTGTTTCAAACACGTCCGATATAATGCAAATGTACATTTTACAATCGTGGGAAGCTAATTTAACCACGGGGGTGGTTAAAGCATTTTATTATTGTAAAATCTACGTTGAAACTGTCGGCCACTTTTTTAACGATGTTAAATTAGCAATATCATGTTTTGCCGTGTACCACATAATCATGATCAGAGTGAAGCTCTCTTAGTGGCACTATATTTATTAAATTTCTCAGCCAGTTCTCACGAAGTTCCTAGGAAATTTCAAGATGTGATCCATGGAATGTGTCCGTAACACATCGACCACATTCAAATATTGTCGCCAGACGATCTTTCAGCGGCGAACAGTCACCAATGCCATCGATAAGCCTTTTTGAGCGGGCTTGACTTTCATTGAGAGATACGGGCATGAGACCGAAATGCAGATTTTTATTCCCGCCACCAAAATTGTGGCGCCGGGTTTGAATTTCAAAGACTTGGCGGTCTTCACGGAAAAAAATAGATTTTGCAATAAAAAAAATACTGATTTAACCACCTCCTTAGTTGAATTAGCTTTCCACTGTTGTAAAATATGTACACTTGAAAAAATATGTTGGACTTATCGGGCATTTCGTCAACGATTTTTTGTCCGCCCACCTGTTTTTCCCAGTAATTTACGTCCACGCGTTTTTTCGGTACGGAGGTTTTGGTCCACGTGCCAGTTGAGACTCAAAGTTAATTGGTCCACATGTAAATACAAACGACAATTGCTCACGATGTTTTTGGATGAAAATGTATAATGTCTTGGAAGAATGCGGGTTTGCTTTTTTTTTTTTTGGTTGTTTGATCCAACGGAGAATAATATATAATTGCGATTTTTGTTAAAAATGAGGGAGCAACAATCCCATTAGGCACAATTCACTAAAACTCTCTACACCTCTTTGGTGCAACAGGACTTAATTATCTTTCAAGAAATTCCCACCTCGTTATACCTGAACCGGATGAACCTCTTGATTTGCCTCACCTAAAGGCTCTAAGATTTTTCCTGTGTACGATAAGTATCTTGATTTATTTTGCGAGGAAACATCTGTACTTTTGAAGGATGCCTATCATTCTTAATACGTTCAATTTCGTATAATACTGTGCAACACCTCTGTTGTGAAATAGTTGCTTTAGGCGCCGCCGCACGGCGGGCGGGCGGTCAGCGCGGAACGCGCATTGGCGCCTACAAACCTAAGTGGATACTTCAAGCATTGTGCAATGCGTGAAGTATCCACTTAGGTTCGTAGGCGCCACTGAGCCTCTCTCAGCTCTGGCAGCACGCCGCTCCGCTCTGTTAGGCTCTAATATTTATACTCGCATAGTCAGCGTTTGATTTTGAAATGTTTGCACACTCTGCATTGATTATTCTCATTTAAATTGATGGGGGAAAAATATATATCAATTTATCAAAGGAGAGTAATAATATAATGTGTTTAAATATTGGTGGTTCCGTGTCAAATTTAATGATTCCTTAAGCACTTTAGCACCTTAAATCAGCAATACATTTTTTCCATGTTGGTCGAAAACAAAAGTGGTTTTCTTCTGTCGATAAAATGAAAACATTTGTTCAGAGCGAAAATGTATATGCTCTTAGTGAGGTAGCTGGTTGTTCATTTTTATCAATAGTAAATGGTAATTTTTGTTTTCGGCCAAGACGACAAAGATGCGTCAAAATTCAAATCTTGCGCCAGAGCTCTAGTGCGGGAACAAAAAGCGGGGTTTTGCCCAGTGGCGTGGCGTGCTTTACGATATATCGATTGATCTACCATTTAAACCTATGAAAAATGATCGATCAACAGGTTGTTCGCAGCGAACACCTTAATAATCGATTCTTTACCGCGGATTCAAATGGGGAAATATCGATATTCGATCATTCACGCCACGCCTCTGGTTTTGCCATAGGGATCGGCAAGAACATACCCACTTTGGGGGAGACCAACCTTAGGTGAATCGTCTCGGGCTCTAAACTGGTCGAACAGTGGCGTGGCGTGAATTGCGATGTATCGATTGTTCTGCCATTTAAACCTATGGAATAGAATCGATGAACAGGGCGTTCGCAGCGAACACCTTGATAATCGATTCTTTACCATAGGTTTAAATGGCAGAACAATCGATACATCGCAATTCACGCCACGCCACTGTGGTCGAACCGGTTAAGTACATAGCACCCATATGTGTGATACATCTATAACACGGAAATTATGTTCTGTACCCTAAAATTGCTGCATTTTGAGGAGTTTAAAAATGCAGACCATATTTTAAAACTCTTAGGCATATAACATCCGAGAATAAAATGAAACGGATGAGAAGAAGAGCATGAAATGAGTAACGTCTTGACTATTCACCCCAGGGAATTTAATATTTACTGGCCTAATCTTTTAAGCCTGTCAAGCTTATAATGTAACAATTACATGCTAGACCTGCCGCACAAATGCAAACTTGGCAGAGCCCAGCGCGTAAATTAATTTATGTTCCATCAAAATTGTCGAATTGACACTTTCGAGATTACTGCCAGAGTCGTGCTCGGTAGTGAACTCATTCAAAATATGAGTGCGATATATTTAAATGAAAAGAAACTATCTGTATTACGATATGCACCCTGTTTTTCATGCATTCTAATTGGTCTTAGGGCCCATATCCAAATGAAGGTGGTTTATTTTGATTTAAATATGTTCAGCTGTGAATGTATTTTACCTCATTCATGATAAAAAGGTAGAGCGGAGTTATCTTCGAAAAAGAAAACGCCCCAGTCACTCTCATCCACTTATCTCTTTTTGGCGTGGAAATAACTTATGTTACACATAAAAATTCGCTTATGATCCATTTTACCGACCTTCCCAGTGTGGCAAACATTGGGATACTTTGTAAGGCATGATATTAGCAAGGAAGTGTCAACGAGTTGAAAGCGAATTTTTGCGTCTATTCGATCCGATCGCTTCGGATCCGATGAATTGCTAACATTGGTGCCATCGGTAGGGCATCAACCCATCCATCAGTTTAGACCAATCACAGAGCTTCACGTCAGATTCATCGTTCAAAGTTCATTTTACCGGGAAAATCCTCGGGGTTCTTAACTGAATTTTTCACTGATTTTTCCTCCAACTTCATCAAAAATCGGAGGACTAAATGCACATATAAATTCTTATAAAAAATTGAATTATTTGAGTAAATTTGTCAACAATGGAGTTACGTTCCGGTAGATACGGGCCCTCCGGAAACGACGATACGTGGATTATTAAATGGACGTATTTCTATCAAAAAGATTTATGTGCAAGTAAATATGGGGTGTGCTTGTCAGTTCTTCGGCCGTAAGAGAAAATGAGAATAATAAAGCGCCAGTGACGTCAACGGAAATGGATGCGGCTCCTCGTAGTGCGTTTTAACTCATGAGCCCTGTCCACAACGCTCTCGTGCCATGCCCGCGGCTCATATATCCCGCATTCAGCTGGCACATAGTTCGGTTTGCTGAATTTAAAATCCCGTTTTTCCAATTCTTCAAAAGGAATCTCACCTGCACATATAGTTCTGTTTGATAGAAATACGTCCAAATATGTCACTCAAATCATTCCGATAAATTCAGTTTCTATAATGTTGTTTCGTTTGCTTGCAGCCGCCAAAGCCAAACGACCTATGTACGGTTTGTTACACATCAGGTACAACGGGCAATCCGAAAGGAGTGATGCTAAGCCACGGTAATATTGTTGCCGCCATCAGTGCCGTGCTGCTCCAGCTAGGTGAACACAGGCCACAATACAATGACGTCATGATCTCTTTCTTACCTTTGGCTCACATGCTCGAGAGGACATGTGAGGTATGAAATATCATAAAAAGCCACTCATTCGATAATATTTTAAGCACAGTGCAATTCGCTGTCCTGCGGGCCGATTATTGAAATTGATCGACAAAGCAATAGACAAAAAAGACATGCGAGATATGGAGATATCCTATTGGTGGATGCGTGTGGTTGCAATGGAAAAATAAGGTGGTTAATAGACTAACTAACGGCAACCCACGATTGACCCTATAGTTAGTCCATCATTTTATCCCTTTCTCTATACGAACCACCCATTTTCAACCAATAGGATCGCTCCATACTCCCTCTGTCTTCTTTGTCTATTACTTTGTCTCTCAATTTCAATAATCAGCCCGCTGGGTCCTCGTTGATTATACCACTGTCATAATTTTAAAGTTTACTGGAAAAAGGACTCTACGCCTTGTGGATGGTCACAAATATTTAAATTACTTTAGAGTGTCAATTTTAAACAAATTAATATTTTACTGTCAAAATGTATGTTATCATATGATGTTGTTGTTGGGCCGAAAAAATTCCCTTTCAGTGACGATTCTTGAAAAATTGCAACCCTGGTTTTCTTTCAGTAAAATAATCGATTCATTGCGAAGCAGTTTGCCTTACCTGACATCTATATTTTCGATGGCTTTAAATGGACTGCATTTTGCAATTTGGACCTATAAATTCCGGCCCGGTTTAAAAACAACGTATGTGCTATTAGTCTCCCTATGCACATAAGTGTTTTTTCAGATAAGCCAGAATTTATACGTCCAAATTGCAAAATGCAGTCCAAATGGAAGAGAAACAGTGTTGCCAACATGCAAAATTGCCACCGCTCTTTCCGCTTATCAAAATGGGTGCACCTCAGAATAGGATACTGGAAAGATCACTCAAATAAAACTCGTCTCTATTGTAAATACATCAATATTATTGATTCAAAAGATCGTGAATTTAACTTCGGTAAAGTGCATGATGACAGGCGTCAAATTTTGGAACGACATAACTATGACCAAACTGCAATCGAAAGCTTCATGCATTTTTTAACCATTAGAACTTTGAAACATTTGATCGGATTATTTTGGTGCTGAACGAGCCTTCTTTTTATTCCTGAAGTATGAAGTTTTACAACTCTGCTCGGTGGAGACATTGTTCTCTGTTATGTCGTGACGCGATGCGCCCCAACGCCAAAAAACAGAGGGAAAACTCAAGAAAAGAATTTGCTATCGAATTCGATACATTTCGAGCATGAGGGAGACAGTAGGTAATTCCTTGTCTGGCACTCAGACAGAGGCTATGTCCCTCGTTTCTTTAAAAATGTATCATTTTTGGGGGAGACTGTTTTGGCAAGCGATCCCAATGCCACTGTCCTGTTGCTTGCCTGTTGCCCACTGCGATACATGTGTCGACCGCACGGTGAGATCCGCTTCCCGGGTCTTCATAAAATGATTAATTTGTCAATAACACCACCTTCTTTCCTCCCGGCTCGAAAGTTTGATTTATAACATTGTTTTGAATTGATCACCAATACGGATCTAGAAGCAAAGTGAGTATAGCACTGGCGTGGCGTGCTTTGCGATATATATCGATTGATCGGTCATTTAAACCTATAGAAAAGTATCGATAAACAGAGTGCTCGCAGCGAACACCATGATAATCGATTCTTTACCATATGGTTAAATGGCATACGTGGACTAGTCGCACGTAGCGGGAATTCAAATCGCCATGTATTCTTATGGGGAAATCCCGTTTTTCTACGCGCAAGTTCTCTTCGTGAGTGTAGAAATGGAAAGTTTTCATGGATGAAATGTATTAACAGCGTGATGAAGTATGTGTTCTAAAACTCTCATCCGAATATTAATTTGCGTCGATGAAATAATAGAGCTTAAAAAGATCTAAATGGCGGGAAAGCTTGCTGTTCTTTCGAACGCACGAGATTCATATTCACCCATCATGCGCTGCGCGACGGGAATAGTCCATTTTGCCCTTCGTTGCGACTAGTCCACAATCCGAGACTCTCATTGGCTGCCTGGGAGATTCTATTGTTCTCTGCCATAAGAAAAGGGATGCGAGCATCCGCTTTGCTTCTAGATACCAGATCACCATGTAAATTAAATTAAAGCCTAGAAAATGGCACACTGAAAAAAAGAATCTTAAATTTGCCGCCAAGAAGTATTTTTTCTCAAATCAAGAATTTCGCTGCTTAATATAATCTTTTGCTTAACCCAAGCATTTTTTTTTCTTGATCAAAAAAAAAATTCAGCTTAAACCAAGTTGACAGAAATTTTCGGCGGCAAATTCAAGAAACATCGTGCTTGAGCCAAGCACTTTTTTTTTCAGTGCACTGTTGCATGATGAAGAATATACGGGAAGAAAAATCTACACGTCGAAATCTTGGAAGGAAGGAGTTGTAAATAGTGAAGCATATTACTCATTTGAATTTATTAATTTTTTACCAACAGTTTCTAAAGTTTACCAAAATTATGCAAACACTTTTGAAAGTGGGCCCGGGCTTTTTGCTGACAAAAGGTGTATAGTAAAAGCGAGAAGACTTTCAATAAGTAAGACTGCACGAAAAGCACCGTTAAGTGCAGTAGAAAATCTATAAAATGCATCCTAAATTGCAAAAAAGTCTACTCGGTTGACTATTCCTTTTCTGTCATAGATTTACTTATAACCGAATACTGAAGTGACCATCCTAATTGGTCATAATTAGGAAGTCAGTTAGTTAATTAGTTAGTTAGTTAGTTATTTTTTATAGGAGACACTCAGCAACTGAAGCTATTAATGTCTTTATAGAGAATATGAAGGGTGTGTAGTGGTGTGTCCATCATGATGTATAGGTACCTCTCAAAATGAGAATGGTCTGTTTTATTTGAAGCTAAAAAGAATTAACCTGCGACGTCAAAACAGATCTCCTAGGTCTAAACAACACGTAAATTAAATTAAAATATATTTGTTTGTATATATGGAAGAAGTTTACTCGAACTTATTTTTTACGATGTTTTTCTATCACAGAACGCCATGTACATGGTGGGAGGAGCAGTTGGCTTTTTCTCAGGTGACATTCGAAGCTTGACTGATGACATGAAAATCCTCCAGCCCACGGTAATCCCTGCCGTTCCGCGACTTTTGAATAGACTCTACGATAAAGAGATGGCTGAAATCACCCCCTACTTCTTTAAAAGATTCCTCTTCAATATGGCAATGAGCTCTAAAGAAAACGAACTCAAAAAGTAAGGCATCCTTTTTTGTTATGGTTATAGTAGAACTATCCAAAATTTGATATCATTTCAGCCAGCTTAGTAGTAAAATCTCCAGATGTTCTAGAATATAGAGATAATAACTGATCTGAATCGATTATTCTGAAAACTACTCAAGCACCAGATATTATAACACGATAAAAACAATAAAAAAGTTTTAATCAACCCGCTTTAAATTTTGGAGTACGGAAAAATTAAAGCGATGAATTAATTAATGACAGTATAATTTAATCTACGATTTAAAATAGATATTACAGTTTCTGATGTCTTACCGTGTTTTCATTTCTGGCGATCAAGTCTATTTAGGAAAGACCGATTCAATTATTGGCCTCGGATACTATAGCCTCGTGTCTTTAACGAATGGCATTCTCCTTATGCATGGGTTCTCTGTTATTATAGTGTTACAACCAACGAGTTCCATACATGTCCGAAGAAGTGAGAAAAGCGAAAGTTGCATCAAGGATACTTAAGGGAGTCAACTCGATGTAATCTGTGTAAAGCGAAAGCGACTTCAATTTTTGAATACGCAACATGCATATTTTAGATTATGAAAATATAAGCAAAATTTTAAAAAAAAAATTGACTTTTTAATAAAAACTTTTGAGTTTATTCATGCACACTTACTGTATCTTGTGTGTGACAACCCTAATGTAGAAGAGAAATCTTTGAAGCTGTAATTCAAATCATCTTAATACCACATGTATTTGTTTGGCAAGTGTGTACTGATGTGTTTTTTTGTTTGTTTTTTATAACAGAGGTATAATTCGAAGAAACAGCATATGGGACAGACTGGTGTTCAGAAAAGTGCAAGAAAACATGGGCGGTAGACTGAGGCTTATGCTTGTCGGGTCCGCTCCGCTGAAAGGCTCTGTTCTCACCTTTGCCCGATGCGCTCTCGGTTGTATAGTAAGTTTTTTTTTATGTCACTTTATTTCCCAAAGACCGAAAAAAAGTAAATTTTCGATAAACCCTCAGTGACCCCTTGACCTCGCTTCCCCGCATCGCCTCGCTCCGGTCCGTTCCTGAGCATCTACCCTAGGAGGTACATAGAAGGAAAAGTAAGAAATTTTTTGTTGATATGAGAAATAGAACACAAAGTAACCTAAACCTGTGGTTAATATTTTTGGTTAGTTTCCTATGGGTCACAGTCACCAAACTTTGGGTTACATTGACCGAGTCGTTGGTTTGAAAGGCAATCTCGTTGAAGTTAAGGTTCGAGCCGCCAGAGTGGAACCTGTATCACGTTGATGATAGTTTCATGCGCTAGCCACTCGCAAGTCGCAACCTTCGATGTTAGTGTCATCAAGAGAAACAAGAGAATATTAGTTTAGCAGGACACTTCCCTCATCCCCAGCATATTTCAAGGGGTAATCTACGATTTCAGTCGGCGACTCAAACAAAAATTTAGTCGATCAACCGAGTTTTCTTGGTCGATCTACTAAAAATGTAATTGACAGTAACCGAAAGTAACTGTTGTGTTAACTGTACAGTTAGAATCATATACATAATGGTTCTAATTAATTATTGCGATCGAAATGTATTGATTCTACCCAGATGAAGATAAGCGTGAGTGGCTCGTTTTGATATATTGTGAGGGTGTAAAGAACTTTGAAGGGGATAACCTTGAGGGGGTAACTTTAGATAAAACCAATATCTGGGTGATACCACATTAAAAACATTTTTTTTGAGGAATTTGATCCGAAAAAATGTACCGTAGGGGGAGTCACTCAAGGCCGAGATTTTGATGGTTAGAAGTTGACACACTGAACACTAATTCTTTGTGAGAGCACGCCTCAAAGTTTTGCGATGGACTTGTGTCCACTCCCTTGCTTATTGAAACGACATCTAGCCAAAAACTTCCAACGCCAGCCTAACATTATACACCGTGAGGGCACGCAAATTTAGAACGCCTTCAATTATTTGATTATGCAACAAGGTCGTCCATTTGACACGAATAGTTGAATCTGGACGTTACAATCAAATTTGTGAGGCTCAGGAGCTACCCAAAGTAAACCAAAGCAACCATACACACATGGAAATTTAACACATTTTATGTGACACGTTTACACGTTTTATATCACATTATGGGGCAGATTGTGAAGGATTTCTCTCTCTACGTGTCACTGAAATCTTAAGTCTGCTATCAGTCCTATGCAGTCAAATAGGAAACACCTGGACCTGGCTACTCCGTGCCGTTATCAAAATTGAAACTCGTGAGCTACAGACTGCTTGTCTTCAGACATGGGACATTAGTGACGTCATTGGTTGAGTGACGCAGAATAATCGCACTCCCGGTTAGTTGACTAGTGTCGATCGCTACGTGCCGCGCCGCTACCAGTCGATCGACGGGGCAAGTAAGCCGACAAATTGCAAGTTTCAGATGAAAGTGAGTTACAGAGCAGATAACCGTATGCATATTCTTTTAATTGCGCTCTTGAACCAGCGGAAGCAGTCTTACAATCTGTTAGACCGTGTTGCCATCAACAGAAAAATGGCGCGTTTTTATATACTGTGATTAAGATGATTCAAACAATGAATAAACATTTATTCTGGTGCTATACTAATTTTAAAACAATTTATTTCTGACCACTCTTTTAAAAGAGCGTCTACTTTCTCGGAAAAAATAATTATTCAGGGAAGTTTTAGTGCGAATAAAACTCAGAAACACAGTCTGAAATAATGATGGATTTTCCTACACATATTTCTTCCACATAGTTTGCTTGTTACAATACGCAAAGATCATTATTCTCAGAATTCTTAAAAATTAAAAGTGTATAAAATGAAAATTACAGCAGACGAAGAATGAGATTCTCCTAAGGTTTTCTCAAGAATTAATATAACAGACAATCAATAATTTTGCTATTAATAAATGTTATATTCAAACGTTTCTGTACTTCAGGCATTTATTTTGTACGTAATCATTGATCCTGTATGTGATCTGTAAAATTGTGCATAATCTGAGTATTATAGTTACATCTGTGTTTAACATTTGTAATTAAGGTGACTAGAGTTTAAAACTGAATGCACCGAGAGGAGGTTTGGAAGAGAATTTTAGTTCGCTATTTTCTTAAACGATCGTTTAAGTCTTTCAAATGTTCATCAATATTACATTTTTTATCACGTTTGCAAGAATGATCAAGGTGCCTGCATTGAAAAATGTTACAGAGGAAATACATTTCTTTTAAAGGGCCTGAATTCAAATATGTTTAAGCGCACATTTTGTACTAATTTCGTTGGTTGGTTATATCTTGGACATATATTTGCATTTTTCGTGGGCACGGTCTTAGACATTATCCCTTTTACTTTGAAGAAAAAATTCTCTACTTTTGGAATCCACTTGCAAAATTTTTTTGATTCTTAACTTGAAAATACCCGATGAAGAACCGGTGTCATAAATGAATAAAGGGCCCTGAATGGTTGAAAAATTTCGAGCTGGAAAATTTCCCCCGGGTCTGTTACATTTTTCAATGTGCAAAATTCTTCGGGGAGAGGAAAGCGTTGTAATAAAAATTCCACCATTTAAAAATACTTGCTCAGGCTTAAGATCTCTTTCGTTAATTTTTTCTTCGTCTTCTATTTACGAGTTATTCCTGCGGGCCCCTTCGCAGAGGCACGAACCTTAGTCACGCGTGACCGTATTGCTAGCGCACAACTTGCTTCCGGAAGCTCCACTTGTCTGTCGCCAAGTTAACAATCATCGCGTAGTTCTCAAACCCGTTCTAACTTTCGCATAGGCCGTGTCGCACAGTCGCCAGGTGGTGGAAGTAACTCCCTTTTCTCGCTTTGTAAGGGGTTCTACGTAATTTAAAGGAAAAATGTTGAATTTTTTGAGAAGTTGAATAATAATAAAAAAAGTATGATCAGGAAAATATTGATTCATAGTAAAACTAAATAATGAGCTACTCGAGAAGAACATTTGCGGAAGACTTGGACGAGCTATATGAACTTTGCCGATTTATGTCACGCACCCTTTTTGCACATTCCGGTGGCTACAAAACAATACCGCCCATCTGCAAACTGACAATTTTGCAGAAGGAAGAGAAAACTTGTTCACTTTTGTTATTTTAAGGTTAGATTTGCATTTTATACGTCACAGCGGCATTGAAGCGCTCCCCTACAGAATTGGGGAAAAAACTAAAATCATCAGTTTGCGTATTTTATACAATAGAGCAGCGAAGTTGCAAACTCTTTTTTACCAAAATTGTCAGTTAGGCGCTATTGTTCGTTAGTCCGCGATGTGGACTACATTTTGCAATTAGAAGCTACATTCTGCGGTTCAGTTTAGGAACAACGTATGTATACCATTAGATTTCCCCATGCACAAAATTGTTCTCCCCAATTGCGAAATGTGATCCATTTCGTAAATTAACGCAGAAGCGCAGACAGACGGACATGCAGACGGACGGACGGACGGATGGACGGACGGACGGTCGGACGGACGGACGGACGGACGGACGGACGGACGGACGGACGGAAAGACGGACAGACGGACAGACGGACAGACGCACAGACGGACAGACGGACAGACGGACAGACGGACAGACAGACAGACCGACAGACCGACAGACCGACAGACCGACAGACCGACAGACCGACAGACCGACAGACCGACAGACCGACAGACCGACAGACCGACAGAATTAGATTAGATAGAATTTATTTATGCATACAGCTTATTATAAAAAAGCTCAGGCAAAAGTCAAATTTACAATTTATACAACAATTTAAACAAAATGAATTACACAATACAACAATTTAAACAAAATGAGTCGTTCAATTGAGCAATCTGAGCAATCGAAGCTGCGACTCTGGCACCCGGAACTTTCGGCTTTTGAGCCCGGAAAGACGGTATGTCTATATAGCCCGTAATTTTCTTTTCGAGCTACTCACTTTCTCATTTGGTTGTCACTTTCCTTTTTCTTTTTTAGATCGTAGAAGGTTACGGGCAGACAGAGTGCGTGGCGCCGATCACATTGACGGTGCAGGGTGACTGGACGCCGGATCATGTGGGGCCGCCCCTGGCGTGCTGCTGCGTGAAGCTGGCAGATGTGCCAGAGATGGAGTACTACGCGTCGATGAACCAGGGCGAGGTTTGCGTCAAGGGTACCAACGTCTTCCTCGGCTACTTCAAGGAGACCGACCTCTACAACTCCAGCATCGATGAGCATGGATGGCACCACACGGGGGACATCGGCATGTGGCTCCCGGTGAGTGCACTGAAAAACTAGGGGAGCGAGAAAGTAAAAATCCGGTTCCAGAGGCCGAAAGTTCCGGGCGTAGTACAAGGAGCAAACGAAACCACGGCTCCAGCACCCGGAAGTTTCGGCCTCTGAGCCCGGAACTGTATGTGTATGCAGCCCGTAACTTTTTTTTTCAGTGTATTGAAAAATAACGAATTTAGTAAAGTAAAAATCCGCATCCAGAGGCCGAAAGTTCCGGGAGTAGTACACGGAGCAATCGAAGCTACGGCTCCAGCACCCGGAAGTTTCGGCCTCTGAGCCCGGAACGGTATGTGTATGCAGCGGCAGCCCGTAACTTTTTTTCAGCGTATTGAAAAGTAACAAATTTCATGAAAATTGAAGGAGGGTTGGATTCAAAAATACGAAATCGTTCAAAATTTACACTTTCAGAGACAATTCTCCTGTAGTAATATTCGAAAAGTACGAAAAAAAATGCGGATCGACGCAAGAGTCGTTTCTAAACGGGAGAGTTGGTGATTTTTGCTAGCGTGCGATAAAGTTCAGTAAGAAACTGAAATTCTCTCATTACATTACAGGGGTAAAAGCTCACTTGAGCATAATCTTCCCTTGAGGAGAAGTTCTGTTTGGTGCAACACTTGTTTCACTTTTCAAAAAGTCTTAAAAACGGTTGGAACTTATTTTGAAGGAAACAATTTTTGGTCCTTTTTTTTAGTGTGATATATGTTTTTATAGCATTCACAGACACCTCACTGCAGGCTGCGAACAGTATTAAAACATTAAGTTCTCTTTTTTCTCTCTTTTTTTCCTGCAAAATCTCTCCGTTTTCGGCTCTATTGTGGCGTTTTAAGCACTCTCTTCCAGTTTTGTGTACCTAATGATTCCCTCTTTCACTCATGCTACCAATCCTAAATTGTACAAAATCTTGCTCCGAAAGCTTTCATGCAGATACACCCAAGTTGTTTAGTTCCATCTCAAATTTCTGTACTTGAAAGTTTATAATTCACGATTTCTTCTTGGGACCAAAATTCATTAAATTTAATTTTTTTCCTCTTGCAGAGCGGTACTTTGAAAATTATCGACAGGAAACGTCACATATTCAAATTAGCGCAAGGAGAGTATATCGTTCCCGATAAAATAGAAAACGTCTATATACGCAGCCAATACGTTCATCAGGTTTTCGTGTACGGCGAATCTCTCAAGGTGAGTTATGAACAAACAAAGCAGCAAATAATTTTGTTGTAGCTTCAGCAGAGAGCAAATCTGCACTACAGAATATCTAGATGGGAAAATACATTCACAACAGACACTTCCACAGCTCTGCAACGCTGAACCGCCTTCTCCTTTCCTTACAAGCCTTTTCGAGAGCTGGCAATAAGTCATTTCTGATTCTATTCCCCGTTGCCACCCTTTCGAAAGAGCATCCACTTTGTCTCCTCCGAGGAGGAACCCAATTGTCAGATTTTCTTCCATAGTCCTGTTATCGTGGCCATCTCAGACTAGCTGTTTAGTCAAAGAGCTCGAATACAATGTGATTTTCTATCTACACAATATCATGCGCCTACTATTGCAGACCCCATCCTTTGTAGAATTTTCGTTTAAGTTTCTCCAAAGATCCGACTTCGTTGCTCTTAGAGTATCTTGTGTCCGTTGCCTTTGCTACCAAACCTCACATCCTGATTATATACATTATACGCATTTAAAAAAATATTCTGTATGAACATGTATTCTTCTTTTTTTTTTAATAGAGATCACTTCATCACCTTTGCTTAAGTATGCTCTCTGCGTGAACTATGGTTGTATCCTACCAAACTTTAATGAAAAGCGTGATTAATCACATCAAAACAAACTAACTAGACAATGATAAGTTAATTTTGTAAGGGTCGTTTGTAAGATCTCTTGTCAACTCTCTGGTCACCAAACCGGTGGTTAGACTCTGACAAGCGCAGTAAATCTGTAATCAGCCTAACCACTGGTTTGCGAGAGAGAACAAAGGCTGTCAGGTACTTGACCTGAAGAAAACCGGGAGTCCTACACTCCTGTGCCTCTGGTCAGCTCAAACCATCAGTTTGACAAGCACCTGACCAGAGGTATTACAATCGGCATTAAGTCAGACAAAAGAAATATTGATGATGCAAGTAAAACACATGAATTAAAATCCTGTTTATTTTCAATTAGTATCTCGACTTGACAGTAACTGAATTCTGAGTGAAATATGTTATTTGAAAATGTTTACGTCCTCGGTTTTTTGGGAAGTTTCGTACATTTTTAACACTCTTTTTTTCTTGTTTTTAGTCTTGCATCATTGCAATTGTCGTGCCAGAAGTTGACGTGGTCAAGTGCTGGGCTCTGGAGAATAAAATTGATGGAACTCTATCAGTATTATGTAATCATCCTGAAATAAAGAAACTCATCATGGATGACATGATAACTTGGGGCCGAGAGAATGGCTTGAAGTCGTTTGAACTGGTGAGTTTATTGAATATGATTCACATTATTTAAAGGAATATATCGTTTAACGTTGCAATGGAGTTACGCATTTTCGGACTTTTGCCTTAGATCGGCAACTGTTGAGAAAACACTCTGAATCAGTGCACCATTCTTGTGCTTGATATATTTAAATAATCAGTGACGCAATTGAAACAGCTGGATAGGCCTCCTCCAAAACGGTACCTATATGTTTGCAGTGTTGCAAATCTTTTCGTTTCTTAATTCTATCTTAGAAAGAAGTGGGTGCCCTGGTAAAAATTGGCAGGAGAAATGTGTGTTCCAAAATACTATAGACCTAAAGCCGGCTGTAAGAGTTCCAATAGCTTCTGTAGCCAGCTGTACAATTTCTTTAGCCTTTTATAGCCGACGGTGACTAAGCAACAGCCAGACGATAAAGTTTATGCTAAACGTTACTAATTACGGATGCTAGGACTTAGTGAGTTTTTGGACTACCACTCTCTTTTTGGGCCGCAGTATCTTGATTTAATGTGCGAGGAAAGCTCCGTACTTTTGAAGGATGCCTGCCATTCCTGATGTGTTGGAGCGCCTTCAATTTTTTATGATACTGTGCAATACCTCTAGTGTGAAATAGTTGCTTCACGCCGTGGCACGCTGCGGCGCGGCGGGCGGGCAGAGAGCGCGACACGCGCATTGACGCCTACAAACCTAACAGGGATACTTCACGCATTGCGCAATGCGAGAAGTATCCCTGTTAGGTTTGTAGGCGCCAGTGCGTCGCCGCTCCGCTTTGTGTTAGGCTCTAATATTTAATCTCGCGGAGTCTGCGTTTTTCAACTCATGATTTTGAAACGTTTACACACTCTGTATGGACTATTCTTATTTTAATTGATGGAAAAAAAAATGTTTTAAAGGAAAATACAAAATGTGTTCTGTAAATATTAAGGTAGTTCCGTATCAAACTTAATGATTTCCAAAGCACACAAATTTCTACACAATTTTTTTTAGCCTTTTATAGCCAATGGCGATAAAGTGTAAAGCCCTGCGATAGGAAATATATCCCGACTGTATACTTTTTTATAGCTTCGTATAGCCCGGCTATATGATTTGCTCCGCTTTCTACAGTCAGCTATATGATTTTCAATAGCCTTCTTTGGTCGGCTATTTTGAAACGCAGCTCCTATCGCCAATTTTAACCAGGGTGGCAAGGGTGCACCATGTTCACATGTATGAGTGAGTACTTTAATAATGTCATAACATGATCTTTCTTTGTCTCAGGTGAAAGATATCTACCTCCACCCGGATCCTTTCTCTGTGCAGAACGGACTCCTGACTCCAACGTTCAAGTTAAAGCGCCCACAACTTAGATCTTATTTCAAGCCCCAAATCGAGGACATGTACTCGAAACTAGTTTGAACACGGTCGTTCCCGAAATCCTGATGCTGCCTCCCACCGAAGATTTCCTTTGTAATTAAATGTAATTTAAATCCCCCAATCGTGACGTCACATTTGTAAACATATAATTCACAGCGTTGTATTTTATTTATTCTCATTTAAGTGCCTTATGTGTTGCTTGTTTTTGCTGTTGACTATAAACACCTATTTTGGAATATCGCCTTTTTTCTTGTCCTCGTTGACGTTGTAATGAGAACTTAAGAATACTCTCTTCCTGGTGTATATATCTGGGTGCTAAAACATATTCACTTTCAAGAATCGCCCCAAAGTTTCAAATGATTATAAATTGATCACTAAGTATATGTGATTCAAAAGTTTCAGAATTATTAGCCTTAAAGTCAGACTCTGATGAAAAATTTAACCTCTCTTTTGAAAAAAGTTTTCAACGTTTAAAAAGAAGGAAACCTTTTCATTATTTTTGTCGTGCACGTTACGGTAATAGTATTTAAAATAATTAATACCAGGTAGGCACTTTTATTGGCTTTTTAATACCCCTAAAGTTTCTTTTCTCTTGTTTTCTTCTTCAAGAAAAAATAAAGTATTAAAAATGTTTCAAAAACTATGCAAAGATCTCTGAACCATTTTGACATAAATTTTACAACTCGTAAATGTAACCGAAGAAAAAAATACAAAAAGGAATTTTTAAAGAGTTACTTTTTTAAAATGCGCGCGTCTTTAAGGAATCTTCCAGACAGTCGTTGCTGATAGCTTTTTGTTATACAGAGTGCTGACAATCATGTCTTGGAGACCCTCTAAAATTTTAGAGGTATTTGTCCTGTTTTTCTTTCGCGCAGAAGTACCATGCATTCTGTTTGTTTCTTGACTAGCGACCTTTTCTCCTCACTCAAAAGAAATCAAAGGCTTGAGGCTCATTTTATTGTACGGTCATTGCTTCGGAAAAAGGAGAGAGATTACAGTATATTGCCCCTTCAGATTAAAAATCAAAGAAGAGGCGACGGCAACAATAATACCTCGATGCAACTAAAACCACTCTGTGGATGTCCGTGTTGCATACACAAAACTATGAAGGCGTTTTGGAATTCTTGCCGATTACAGTGCGCACTAATCCACAGTTTGACGTTCGAAACGGCTGACAAGTTATAATGACAATTGGTAAGGACAAGGGGTTGTCCTGTGCAAGGTAACAGCGCCGAATGAAAGGAGCCATCGACAGCATCCCTTATACAATTCCTAAAACAGCACTTAATTGCGTTGACTTCAAAGCCACAACACCTTCAAATTTGCATTTATGGAACATGGACGTCCATAGAGCAGTAATAGTTGCATCAAGATGCTTATCACACCAGTCGGCAAGACTATTATACAGATATAAACCTCTAATCGAACGGCGGAAACGTTTGTGGTCGAATTTCAAGACCGAAATGAGATTAATTCTTTGAAATTTTTTATCCGTTTAAGCAATTTGAAACGCGGACTCCCACAGCCCACATTTTAGGTGGGCAAGAGCAGAACTTCATATAATTTTCACTGACATACCTATTTACCAGACTTTTTTTTGCTATGGTCTCGTCATTGCACCTAGAAAATCATAAACGTGTAAGGTTTGTGGTGGCACAGATTTCCTGTCGAATGAGGACCAACAGTCATCGTTTTTGTTCCGAACTCCATGGAATTCATCACGATTATTCTTAAAATTTAAGCACTTCAACGTCAAAATTATAGTTTTCCCGAGGGAAACCAAAAAAAAATAAAAAAAAAAAAAAAAAAAAAAAAAAAAAGAAGACGTGTAAGAGGAGGTTACTATTTGAAGCAAAAGTTAAGGCCCGCACCCCCTCTTGTGGCCACATCGGAAATAGTAGGGCTCTCTTAAAGTACCTTAATATCCCCAAAGTTTCGTTTCAAAATATGAATGAGATAAAATTTTAAATGAGATGGACCGGACTTTTGGGACATCCTTCATAAAAGGCCGGAGACTTAAACGCTCGGTTAAGAAAGCAAGCGTCCGGAACAAACCGCACTGTATGTACATAAAAGCTCGCCGGCTTTGATAAGTTCTTTTTGCTATCCGCAGGAGGAGTATGAGAAAATAATTGGTAAATACGAAGTACCGCAAACGCCGCTAAAATCTAAAGAAAGGACAACTCAATAGAGTGGATTAAAGGAAAATCAACATATCGACGATGCAAGTCGAAAATCACATAACTCGGTTTGCGACGTCGCAGACTTCCTGTCATGCTTTTATTTTTTCAACGGAAAACTATACCCAACGGCAATTCTTTATAAAACTGCCGTGATTTTTCTTCTCTGTGCGAAGACAATTCTGCAAAAACTTCAAGGAATGATTTCAATTTGTTCTCCTTTAAAAAAATAACATAGAGGTGGAGATTTTCAGACACCGCAAACGAGTTATGTGATTGCCGACTTACACCGTAGATACATCATGCTCAGATACCGAATTTTTTGCAAAATTGAGGGTCAGCAATGTAGTAAAACATTTAAAAAATGCATTTTTCGGAAGATTGACAATTTCGCGATATACAAAGAAACAATCAAAGCTCCAGTTAGTACAGCATGCGAAGGATTCTCAACGAATTTTATTACAGCGCCCTGGAAGCAACTATTTGAGCTCCATAAATGTCCGTGTTGCATACGCACGATAGTGAAGGCGTTTTGACTTCAGGCACTGACCATCTCGCCAGAAGCGCTTATTGTTAGTGAAGCGAGTTAATGAGAGGAGTCGGACAAAATGAGGAGACAGTGAAAGCTCATACTTATCGATGTTAATTCAGAACGCAGTGGCTTTAGAAGTGATGTCGATGATTTTCTCGTAAAATGATTTTCTTCAATAAGTATCCCATAAAGTTTATAATGATAAGAAATTAACATCAAAATTTGCAGTTTAAGTCGAAAATCCCATGTTCAGCCTCTCTGAAACTCAAGTTTTACTGTGCGGCAAGCTGCACTGGGCGGATCTAAAATGAAAAAGTGTCTTATTCTGTATTTTTTCTTCGAAGACATCTCTTACCCTCGTAAAAATTGGCGATAGGAGCTGCGTTTCAAAATACCATAGAAGTTCTCATAGCCGGCTAAAGAGGGCAATAGAAAATCATGTAGCTGGCTGTAGAAAGCGGAGCAAATCATATAGCCGGGCTATACAAGGCGATAAAAAAGTATACAGCCGGGCTATAGTTCCTATCGCCGGGCTTTACACTTCATCGCCATCGGCTATAAAAGGCTATAAGAAATTGTGAAGAAATTCGTGTGCTTTAGAAATCATTAAGTTTGATACGGAACCACCATAATATTTACAAAACACACATTATATTTTCCTTTAATACATATTTTTTTTCATCAATTAAAATAAGAATAATCGTTACAGGATGTGCAAACATTCCAAAATCATGAGTTGAAAAATGCTGACTCCGCGAGATTATATATTGGAGCCTAACACAGAGCGGAGCGGCCGTGCTGCCAGCGATAAGCGCGCACTAGTGCCTACAAACCTAACAGGGATACTTCACGCATTGCGCAATGCGTGAAGTATCCCTGTTAGGTTTGTAGGCGCTAATGCGCTTTCCGCGCTGGCTGCCCGCCCGCCGCGCCGCAGCGTGCCACGGCGCTTGAAGCAACTATTTCACACCAGAGGTATTGCACAGTATCATACGAAATTGAAGGCGCTCCAACATATTAGGAATGGCAGGCATCTTTCAAAAGTACGGAACTTTCCGCGCAAAATAAATCAAGATACTACGGCCAAAAAATGGAGTGGTAGTCCAAAAACTCACCAAGTCCTAGCATCCGTAATTGGTAACATTTAGCATACACTTTATCGTCTGGCTGTTGCTTAATCGCCATCGGCTATAAAAGGCTATAAGAAATTGTGCAGCCGGCTATAGAAGCTATTGAAAATCTGACAGCCGGCTTTAGGTCTATGGTATTTTGGAACACAGATTCTACTGCCAATTTTTACCAGGACGCATGGACAGTTGCTCTACAAATCACACTCTGCAGGATATTGCGATGCCAAAACTGGAGCACAAAAGATACTCACATATTCGTGCTTAGGAAATATCTTTGTGATATAACGAATAATTGGAAGCGCTCTGAACATTGGATCCTCGCAGTAAAGGTCGCCGTTGGCGCCGCGCCGCGGGTGAAGTGGCTAGTGCTTGGACAGTCAAAACGCCTTCAACTCCGTGTGTAAGCAACACAGACATCCGTAAAGTTCGAATAGTTCCATCCAAGAGTTAAATTATGTTCGTTGCATTGTTCCCATCACCGGCACTTAACTCCAACGTTGCCTATTGTGCTGATGAAGTACCTAAACTTTTATTGATTTTTATCGCAACATTGTCAATTTTCTGAATAATGCTTTGATTGTTTCGATATTTTTAGTGGGCCCCTACCTAAAAGTTTTTTTTTTTTTTTTTTTTTTATTTGTTTTAAATTATTATTACAGTCTACAACAATATTACAGGAAATTTGGAGTCATGAGAGATTTATATTCGGTCTACCCATTTCTGGTGACAAGAGAAGGTAGAAATAGAAAACATGGCAGGTCTCTATGAGATTCAATTAGAATGTCGGTGCCTTAAATGGTTTTCTTGATTAAAACAGTATAGAAATAGATTAATTGAAATGTAAGTACTTGGGTATCAACCGAATTGTGAACTTCAAACTTTTGCATGGAAAAAATTCGGGCAGCAAAATTGTATGGGTAAATCGACTTATCCACTCTTAAGCAAGACATTAGTGTCAGCATGATGTGTGCACCGACCACTCATCAAATGGTACATAAAATGGTGGATGCACATCACTTTCTGATTGTTGTCAACTAACTAATGCTCATGTAAAAACTTACATCTTATCCATAGAAATGAATTATCAAAGTAATTTTTTGCGAGAAATTTTATAAGAAAATGTGTAATGTAGTATTTTGATCCATTCCCTCTGTACTGGTTGCTTAGCTCTCGTGCAACAAAGTAATTGATTTTTCATACAGTTATAAAAAAAAAAAAGCGTAGGTAGCAATCAAGGGATCAAACTATTAGCCTCATTTTCTATATTAAAAAGAGAAGACAGTATCTACTTCATATTATTTCTTTCCACATTTATTATTTTATTTGTGTTCAAGAAATTTCATACCAAGTAAAAATGTATATACATGGATAAAAAGATAAATTTATCAGTTCAATAACAACAAAAATCTATTTACAAAGTAGATTAATTGATTGATAAGTGGATATTAACATCATGACCTATAATTGGGAAATCTAATTTACAGTGTTATAGATAATAATGTGCATTAATTAGTAGGTATTGCTGCTTCACTGAATGAGGGAGTTTCACTAAATACTTTCAAGTAGACTGCAGTGACCTAGCAACAATACCTACGCAGATAATTATCAATCTAACATGGTAAGACCAAGCATGGCAATTTCATTTGAGGTAATGCTGGAAAACTAACTTAATCAAGAGGGCCATGATTGGAGAGGCTTGTCAATGGTGTGCTGGCAGACTCAAAAAAGAGTTACTGGTTTGAGCATGAGTGGCAAAAATTAAAGAGCACAAAATTGGAGAAAATAACTTGGGATTCAAGAGGGCTTAAAACTTTCGGCACAATTCAGAGGATTAATTATTTCCATCATCCTGATTTCTCACCCTTACTTCTCAAAAATCACATGATTAATGGTCTTTCGCTTGAGCATTTTTTGACTGATAATTAGGTTATGGTGATAAAAAAATAAAAATTAAAACTGAAGTAATCAAAAATTTTGAGTTGATTGGATCAAAGAGCATAAAACTGATGCAAAATTTTGCATTAACATTCAGATCTTGATGATGTAGCTTCTGATGGGTAACCGGCTTGAATGTAATCATATAACCAACCAGCAGAAAAAGTTGATGCTCTTAAAATGGTAGTAATTTTCAGGACTCTACAACAGACTTTTTGAGCTCTTGAAGCAGAGGCGAAATTTGTTCTTTTAGGGCCATCACGTGGCCTGTGTTGCAATCTTGGCTTCCGATGAATGTGATTACGAGAGGAAGGTCATTAATTTGCACGACCTGCAACAAAAGGGTTTGGAAAAAATATTACAGCAAGGTTTTCTACTCTGACTGAAAGAAAACAGAAATTCTAAAATATAACCATCTACAGGAAAAGGGATCTCAATTCACAGATATTCAAAATCGAGTTATTGAAACTGGAGCAATGCCAAGTGTTCTATGTACATTTTTTGAAGGAAAAACACTTAAAAAAAAGTCAAACTGAACCAAAGCTATGACTGTTCAACAATCGAACGAAAGAGTTTTGGAAGTCAGCTGCTTAAAATTCTATTGGTAATGTTTAGGGCATGACATTGACATATTATGATGAAAAGATTTATGCCTTTTATGGAAACAGAAATGAAAACCCACCCAAAATACTCTAATTCCAGGATACTGGAGAGTCGAAATTTCTAAATTCCTTTTTTTGATCGGACTGGCCAAACATCACTGTACTAAAAATTTCAGTTTCATATGGATTAAATACTTGTTGGAAGTTTGTGAAGCTCTATCATAGGTTTCCACTTTCAAAAACTGCAACTGCTGGTAAATTACATTAGAACTACCTGCCGCAAAATTCTCCCTCGCAATACACAACAAAACCAAAGTAAGGTCAGATTAGCCAATGGATATGAACTCATAAATTCAGAAATAATTTAAACTTGATTTTTTTTTTTTTTTTGAGAAAAAAAATACCAATCAATTTTTAATTGATACGGGATTCTCAAGATATGTTCAAGATAAATTAATTCAACGGAGAAAATCGGTCCATTGTAAAGCACACCAAAATTACTGAGGTAAGTATTAGAGGACTTGATGGATACTTTGCTTTTTTGTACGTAAAGAGCTTTAGTTGACAGAAATGGAATATAGTGTTTTCTCACTTATACATAATATTTAGAAGTTTTCAATAAGTCCACCAAATTCTGCATTAAGGTGATTTTTCTTAGGTTTTTAGCATGGTCTAACTGACATGCAATTTATCACACCAATCAGTAAAAAGTCTCAGCAGCTTTTGATTAATTAGCCAAGAAAAAAAGAACAGCTCCTGGGCATGAACCTAAAGAATGATTCTAAGCCATAATAAGTTCAGTGGAATGAAAGAAGAGATCTTCATGGAAAAAAAATGGTGCATTGGTTACAGTAATTAACCTCTGTATAAAATGTGAAATTTTTCCCCAAGAAGAATTCTACCTTTAAACCTTTGAATTTGCAATTTTTTTGGTTGTGAATTAATCTTTAATCGTCGTATTATCTGACGTTACCCTGTAAATTAAATGCAATTTTTTTAAATGTAGTTTTAAATCATGTAGATAGATACAAGGAAAAACTTGTAATAGTTACGTTATATTTAAATAAAATTCCTTCAAAAAAAAAAAAAAAAAAAAAAAAATTAATCTAAGCTTGTATGCCGGGGCTATCATTTTTTTAAGGCTAAAAAACAAAATCTGCTGAGTTCTTTTGTTTCAGCAAATATAAATTACAAAATGCATGCCAGTTCGATCAAGCAAAGCACCTGGGAGTGTCTGAACAAATTACAAAAAAAAAAAAAAAAAAAAAAAAAAAAAAAAAAAAAATTGAGATCATACCAGAATTTTTCCCTCAGTCTGATAGTCCATAACATTTTTACACATATGAATTATAAATAATTAAGGGTACAAACCTGATAATTTCCGTACATGCAAATAATCGATTTATTCTTGCCCAGGCCAAATTTGCTTCCTTGATCAGTTGCCATTGAGAAAGCAGACAAAAATGGTTGCCGCATTGCCATCTCAGGTGTCTTTTCAGTTGCAACTAAAGCAAAAAGAAGAACACGGATGAGTGAGAGCCTTAATAGACGGTAGAAAGTAGTCAAGCTCAGAACCGTGGGCCCAAGAGCAACGAGGGGGAACAGTGTTTGTTTCAAACCATTCTGGCTGCCTTAGAGATCTAGCATAAAAATTAGCAACCTTAATCAACTTAAAAACTACAACCACACTTCACCTTGGGAGCTAATTAACTTCATTTAAAAATGATCAGTTTTGGGTCCGTGAATTTTTTTTTCAATGATAGTGAAAAGAAGGGATTAGGAAAGCAAATTTAAAGATGGTTGGAATTTTAACAGTTTTATTAGTAAAAATCAGACGTATTTGTATTGACGCCAAATGAAACTAGATGCAAATGAATGAGGTATCTCAAAAGGAACTATGTGCACAGGGTCTGCTTGCTACATAGCTCCATTAGATTTAATCAATTTGCACATTGTTCCTCTCAGTATAAATCACATCAGGTTGATCAAATTCAATCTTTTAATCACATTTGGATTTTGTACAAAATGCATAACTACATTAGTCATTTGTAAGTACTTTTTTTTTCATGAAAAAAGAGAGGTTGACAGGTGTCAAGAACAAATTGCCTCGGCTCTTGATGTTTTAAGATCAAAATTAACTGATTGCAAGAAGTGGCACATTAATTATTTCCCTGCCTCTTCTCCCTAAATTGACATTTGTAAATGTTATAAATACTCCTTGTGGTGGAAAAGAAGTAAAGAAACCAGAAGGGGATCGGATACAAACCTTTGATCACGGCTACTCCATCTCTGTCTGTAATTAGAATGCAGTATAGACCATCTACCCTGGAAAACAGGAGAAAAGAAAATAAGTCATTTTATTTAAAAATAGATATTATAACTGCCCAGGTCATTATTAACTTCATTGAGTTCTACACATTTATCATAATTTGGAAAAGTCAGTTTTATATTTTGAGACAGTTTGCTGAGGCTTTGTCGGATTACACGAGGAGAGATTCCGATAATTGTTGGCGATAATCCGATGGTAAAAATGTTCCGATAATCACTTAAAAAATAATTAGAAAGAGCGTTACCTCTTTGGAATATCAGTCAGACTTTCTCTCTGAATCTGCTTGATAAGGAAATAATTATATATCTACAGCAAGTTTAGTAATTTGAATCATAAGTAACGGCTGAAGGTTTTCTGACCAGCAGGGTGGCAATAATATGGGTAATTATATGTATTTTAGTCCCTCCTCGGTTCTTAACTGTTGTTCTGCTAATTATTTAGCAATATTGATGACCATCTAGATTTTACCCCATATTTTTCTTTTTTCTTTCTTTTTTTTTTTTTTTTTTTTTTTTTTTTTTGGTGCATGAGGTGAGACTTAAAACAAAATGATTAAGCATAGTAAGTGGCTTAAAGCAAGGTGGGAAACTTACTTGAAGAGAAGATCAAATAGGTACTTCCTCACTTCCTGAAAAATTAGAAAAGCCATTAATAGGAGACATATGGGTAAGAATAGACTTTGTAAACAGCATGAAGAAAAAAATAAATTAATTAAATTTGGCTAAAATATATGTAAAATCTGGTGAAAAATACCACAATTTGCCTACAAACAAAGGTACCATTTAATACTGCCCTCAATCTTAATGATAAGTATACACCACAGATGCGTTGTTAAAGTAAACTTGTCCGATTCCGTTTGGTTCTTCTATTTGCAAACACAACCCAATGGTCCCATCGACCTTCTGGGATTGTTGAGCGTTTGGTAAAACGTTAGGCTTTCATATGTAAACACACAAGTCATCAGATAATTCTGACAAAATCCAACAACGCAGACCATTGAGAATTGGGCAATTCTGTTTCCAAACGGTCCCAAACAGTTTACTTCGACAATGAATCTCACATTAGACTTATATCCAAGTACTATTTTCATTCTTTTCAATTTTACAGTTTTGTTTTTTGTAGGAGAATGATACTTAGGAGTTGTGCGCACAGACTATTGTTGTTTTCGAGGGTAAGTGGGAAATTAAGTACAATCAGCCAGAATTTTTTATTTCATTGTTACGGTGCTTTTTTACATAATCCGCTACTTATGTACCTAGTTTGAATACGCCAAGACCCCAGACAATCAAACTAGAAGGTAGGTATTATAAGGAAGTAAAGTATGTTCTGATTTAAACTTACTTCAGCCATTGTTGAATTCACTGACACAGAAGATAAACGGCCAAGAAACTTGTAAACGGCAGAAAAACTTGCCGAATGCTGAGATCATTCAATGAGGTAGTGATAAGGGTTTGAAGATCTGCACCAGATGAGCAAACAGCAAACTGAAATACCTTTTGAAGAGTACTGTTGGTGAATCTGATAAGAGAATAAGCTTTCTGTGAACCCGCAAAAAACTTTCGAAAATCCTGCGAGTCAAATTAAATGAACTGACAGCTACTGATATATACTGATAAGGATTGAAAGGAGTGACAACAATAAACAATTAGGTTATGTTTTGGTAAACATAACCTACCTAGCTCACGGTTGTGTTGTTTTTGACATGTGTTTTTAGCAATTTTTAGTCGGTCTTTTGAAAAGATAGAAACAGCATTACACTCGGAATCAAGTCTAGTAAGTGGATTTTCCTCGTAGGAATTCACAATGTTTCCTCTTAGAAAGTAAAATGCAGGTATCAATGAATTTTTCTGGACTGTCCTCCTGTGCTCGCAGATTGGAAGAGGTGAAAACAGTGGTGCGTTACGATTCCTGTTAAAGTGTTACTACATGCTTTCGATCTTTTCCTGTCCATCATGGACCGATCCAACTTTTGTGGCTGTAAAGGCGTCAGGACTTGCTTTAAATGTGAAGCGGAATATGGACTGAATAATGCCTGTGTGGCCTCCTCTGATGAGGTCGACAATTCATTTGTTTACTGCGCAGACTGTGATCTATGTTGGCAAGGGTGGAGTCCTGACAGTGTCCTATCTCATCCAAATCATGGTGAAAAGAATTTTCGAATTGAAGGTGTCTATGTGAAGAATAATTTTATCTCTCAAGCTGAAGGAGAAAGCCTGATTCAGTTCTTGGATTCTATGCCCTGGGATTTGTCCCAGAGTGGTCGAAGGAAACAGAATTTCGGTCCTAAGTGTAATTTTAAGCATCGAAAAATGAAACTAGGTAATTTTAATGGGTTCCCTAAAGGCACAGAGTTCATTCAAAAGCGATTCAAGGAAGTTGATATAATGAAAGATTATCAAACAATTGAACAATGCTCTCTTGAATATGACCCGGCTCGAGGAGCTTTAATAGATCCCCACATTGATGATTGTTGGGTTTGGGGCGAAAGGATTGTAACCGTTAATTTGTTGAGTGATTCGGTTCTTACGCTTCGTAAATATCATGGAGATAATAGCAAATACAACCTATTTTATTCGAATCATGAACCAAAAGTTGAGACCCTTAGGGATAGTTATCCAACTGTAAGAATTCCTATGCCAAAAAATTCATTATTAGTTCTATATGGTGAGGCTAGGTATGAATGGGAACATCTAATTTTTAGGGAAGACATTACCAGCCGCCGTGTCTGCATTGCATATCGTGAATTCACTCCAGCATTCTTGGAAAATGGTGAATTTGAAATGGAAGGTAAATCAGTCATTAGTCAAGCAAAGAACTTTTTCCTCACTTGAAAAAACACTTTAATGATAATACTGTTTTCCTTCATCTTTAAAAAGTCAAATACTTCCTTGAAAAAGTGCAATGCACCTTTGCCTGGGATGTAACAGTATTGCATCAACCAATAACTGAACATGAGCTTGATGTACTAAACTTATAAGCTCAAAGTCTTTATTAATTATTTATGCAATATCCTGTAAAAGTAGTGGTCTGAAATGAGCTGATCAAATTATTTTAAGAAATTCAATGCAAATAGAGTAAGCAATGAATTTCAATGTGATTCTTTTGGATTTGTAATTACATTTTGATAATGATGTCCTCTTGAAAGTCATCTGTTGTTTGAAAATGAGATTTGACTTTTTTTATTTGTGTGCCAACTTCAGTGGTAACATCTTATTAAAAATTGTGGCTTCTAACACCTCGGTCAATAGTTCTATCTGCCATAACTGGAAATATTTTTTTTATTTTTGATATCATGTATGAAGCTTTCCTTCTTTACAAAAAATTGATAAATATTAAAAGTACATGCACCAAAAATTTTACAACAGTTTTTTTTTTGTATGTTTTTCATCTCAAATATTACGCACAGGGTAAACTAGCACCTTCAATCAAGTAGAGCCCTGCTGCCTCAGATAACTGATGCTTGAGACCATCAAACTTGGGTTGTGGAGCTAGGAATTGATCCAAGTCCCTTGGTCATGCAGCTAGCCCTTCAACCACTACACCACAGGAAGCATGCAAAGTGCCACATCACTGTGCTATTTAGTAATCACAATTTTACCATTTTAATAGAAACTTTATTAAAGAGTACCTAGAAATGCATCAAAATCTTAGATTAGAGTAGATTATGTTTAAAATTTAGAAACATTTCTGCCAAAAGAGATGCCATATTAAATCTCTGCATCTCCATATGTCATTTAATCTTTCAATATTTATCTATTCCAATGAAACATCAACATTCCTATTGTAGTCAAAGCTTCATCCTCATCAGGAGGACAGCCTGGGTGGTAAGAGTCTATCGACAATCATAAAGAACTCGGCTTGATAATATAAATAAAGAACTTGATACAGTAATTCCGAAAATCTACACAAAGCGTAATTAATAATAGAAAAAAAATGAAATAAATATATTTATAGGAAAAAAAAAATAGAAAATAAAAATATAAGAAATAAAACTATTCTTTTCTCCTGTGGCACACTACATATCGACAACGTAAGTCCACAATCACATACCTCGTTTGCGGTGTCTGAAAATCTCCACCTCTACCTACTTTATTTTTTAAAGGAGAACGAATTGACATCATTCCTTGGAGTCTATGCAGAATTTTCTTGGCACAGAAAAAATCATGGCAGTTTTGAAGAATTGCTGTTTAGTAGTTTTCTGTTTAAAAAATAAAGTATGACAGGAAGTCTGCAACTCTGCAAACTGAATTATGTGATTGCCGATCACCTACACCGTCAAATATACCTCTTAAATGCTCTCTACGTGCTACATGAAGTGCAAGGATTAACAAACGTAAAATCAGAGCAAAAGAATGATGGGAAACCCTCTTATATCCCCTTGATTTTTTAAAAATTTAGAGTTTTCAAAGCTGTAGAAAATTCTCAAAGAAGGAAGAACATAAACATTATTACACGCAATGAAAAGAAAGTTTTGAAATCACATAGTAATTAGAGAGTGAATACTTCGTCCATTATTCGATTGGTAGATCGCCTCTTTTAACACCTTACCTGAAAGTCCCAAGAAAAAGAGCGTCATTTTGAATTTTACCGCCATTGTTACCCAACGTTGATGGCCGCAGCGCAGCGCCACCAAAGGTTTCGGTTGACGGTTGTGTTATCACGATTTTTACTTTTTATCATCGTCAATTTGTGTCACTTGTAATTTTCATGCATTTGTTCGCAATTCGTCTGTCAGTTAGCAGTTAGCCAGTTATCTCTTCGTTTACCTATCACGAATTTTAGATACATTTCACCCCAATTCAATGGAATGCCAAACTCTTAGTTTCCCGGTCTTGTAAGTAAACTTCTAAACTAGTGGGAAAAGTGGATGCAAACAAGTACCTAAGGGAGTTTCAGACTGGAGCTGGATATTAAAGCCACATTTATGCGAAATTCTAGCAAATTAAGCTTTCAAAACTGTAGTTGATGACATCTGTAGACAATGATTGAAGTCATGAATAGAGCATGATTCCATAAAGTTGTGTATGTGATCATCTGGGCGATGCCAATTGTTGAATCTATTCATTGCACCAAAACAGTGATCCTGATTACTTAGTTGTGCTGCGTTGTCTCAAGAATTATCCAGCTCACCTGCAGAATGAGCAACATTAAGGACGAATTGAACGATTATTTGCTCCAGAATGGCTCTGGACAGAAAAGCTCCTTCAATACATCTTTTTCAATGCCTCAAATAGGACCATGGTTTAAAAAGTCTGAAGTGATCGAGGATTCAGAAGGATGGTTTGCTACATACAGGAGGAATGACTGCTGTCCTACTTTAGTAAGTAGTTACTCATCATATTTGCCTAATTAGGTTTTCAACCATCTTAAATAAGTTTACGCACTCTGAGACTGTAACGGAAGACCATCAGACGTCACTTTTACATTTAAAGTAAATGGCAAAATCAAGATGACAGATCCTCTGTCGCAGTGTAAAAGCGCGTAACCTTATTTGACTCTAACTCAAGTAACAAAAAAATGTCTGCCTGTTAGGCCAGACAACTTAGTTGTAAAGCAGCAATGCAGATTTTGATGTCTAGTAGAAAAATGTTCAAGAAGCAAGAATGTCAGGAAGCAATGGTAGATGCAACAAAAATTTTGCAGTGTTAGATTGTGAATGGCACAGGAATTGGGAATCGAGTATGCGGGCACACTCGGTGCCGGAGCAATCCCTCGTCAGAGAGTCTGGGTGCTTACCCTCTGGTTTGAGTCTACCCCTCGCGTGAGACTGACAACGCAAACTCAGAAGGAAAGGACCGTTTGGCCGGCTGATTTGGCTGCATGCTCATAGGATATTCTCGGAAGGATATTCCAAAGGAAAGTATGTTCCAGATGTTTCTTTTTAGAAGGAAGCAAATCGGCACACGTCATTGGTAAAATCCTTTATTTGTTATTTTTTTACCAGACAATTATTATATTAATTAATTATTTATTGTCATCCTCTCATTTCTTTTTGTCATGATTTCAGAGTCGATTGCAGCGACTTATTGGATTCTTTGTCTGTCTCTGTATTGGTGGAATTTGCTTCTTTGTAGCTCTGATGCTTATTCCAGTCCTACTGCTCAAAGCTCGCAAATTTGCTCTACTGTTCAGTCTAGGAAGTCTATTTTTCTTATTTAGGTATGTAAGCATATCCAGTCCTAATATAGGTAGACTTTTCTCCGCGCAATCAATATCAGTGTTGTTTAACTTAGGGATTGGAGAAAAGTTTATTGCTACTTTCATTTACTAAATTATTCTTTATCTGTAGAGTAAGTAAGCACCAGTCTAATGGTATCAAGTTTGATACTCCTGTCAATTTAAATCTGAAAGATCTCCTAATTTTTAAGTACTTACAATTAGTTTATTTCTAATTAGAGAAACATTAAAAATTTGGCCCGATTATTGTATGTAAAAGAATGGCAGAATAGTGCTGGGCCCATGTTGTTATGCAGAGAAATCCAATCCAGAAAAAACCAAAAATTAGAGCGAGAGCCACAAAATGAACTCTACTTATTGAGTTTTAATTTTTTAGTCCAAGACTAAAATCCTGGTCACAGCCTTTTGAAGAGCCATACAAATAGCCTGCTTACCCAAAGCAAATTTACCTCTTATTTAGTCAGAGAGGAGAAAAATAGCACTGACCATAAAAATATAATTTTCAAGAGGATAAAGAATAGCTTTTTAATGTAAATTCTCACACCATCATCGTACCAAACTTATCTTAGTCAACGGTGTAAGTCGGCAATCACATAACTCGTTTGCGGTGTCTGAAAATCTCCGCCACTGTGTTATTTTTTTAAAAGAGAACAAATTGACATCATTCCTTGAAGTTTTTGCAGAATTTTCTTTGCACAGAGAAGAAAAATCACTGCAGTTTTAAAGAATTGCCGTCGAGTAGTTTTCCATTTAAAAAATAAAGTATGATAGGAATTTTGCGACATCACCAGCCAAGTTATGTGATTGCCGACCTGCATGGTCGATATGTTGAAATGTCATTTACATCCACCCCTAGATACATACTTTAATCAGTTCTAATCTGTCTATTTTTTCTTCCAGTTTTTCATTTCTGTGGGGTCCACTGGCCCATCTGCAAGGTCTGTGTGCCAGAGACAGACTACCATTCTCCGCAGCCTATGTGAGTACACTGTTGGCTACTCTCTACGGGGCTCTCTGGCTACAAAGTGCTGCTTTCACAGTCTTAATGGCTGTTCTCCAATTAATTGCCTTAGTTTGGTTCCTATTCACAGCTATTCCTGGCGGTCAGTCAGGGTTGTCCTTCATGACAAGACTGTTTTCATCTGCTGTCACGCGGAGTGTCTCAAGAACTTTACCAGTGTGACCTGCTTAGAAGAAAACGAAGAAATGTGATCATGTACATAAAGTTTTCTTCCATGAGCTGGTGGGTGCAATTTTGTTTTAATGTTCCTATTTTTTGCCCTTTGATTTTCTTCCTAAACTCATAGGTTTATGGACTTATATTTTTTAAAAGTTTGAAAATACCTAGAACGACCTAAAACAAATTTGTCTCTCAAAATTTGAATAAGAGACTCATCAATGTTGTTATGTGAATACATGTATTACTTTTCAGTGAAGCTATCAAATGGTATAGATTTGGAATAAATCAGAATTATTTCCGTCCCAGCATGTGATGAGTGAATTAAACTTGTGTTTCTTACCAGTAATTTTTGTTTATATTCCAAGGAGAAATTAAGATACAAATGAGGATACTTCCAATTTTAGTAAAATAATGTTTACATTTGAATAAGATTTTATAAAGTGCGCCATAATTTCCAACACCACTGTAAATTCAGATAGCCAGAGCATGGAAAAGATAAGGAGGGGAAAAAATTAAAATAAGAGCAGACAATGTGCATCTATGTTTGAGGTACATCACCAGTAGAAGTAACACAGAAAAAAGTAAACATTTTTCCAAGTGCTTGATGTTTACTTTAAAAAATCCTGAGCCCTCTTCTTCAAAATAGCCAGGATTCGAGCCAAGTATTTTAAGACATTTTTATAGTGAGATAAAAGGTCTGCCATCTTGAATCTTGTCTTCTCAGTGCATGATCTTGTGTTTTCAATACCAAAATGTGAATAGCTGATCCTCTAGCGCACTCTGAAAGTGCAGCAGCTTTCTTATGCGAGGCCTCTAATTCTGAGTGTTAATGCAGACTTATCGTTAAAATCCAAGGTACACTTTACTACAGGTATGGACAAAGGGGGTGCCGAAGTGGCAGCGCTGAGAATATACGCTATCGAGTGACGTTGCAAGTCGTGCCATCTTTAGTCAGGTTCTGTCAGATCCTGGTAGTTTCAATAAGCTATCAGATGAATTTAAAAAATTGATAAAACTCCAAATAATGAAAAGCTTAACTAAGAACACGAAAAAATAACACGAAATTGATGAGACCCACTCTCAGAACAGAAAATAAACAAGTTTCCACTATGGCATCGCATTCGTACCATTGGACGCTGTCAAATCCAAGCGTTTCGATGATTTTTTAAAATTCCATTTGTCTATACCTGTAGTAGAGTGTACCTTGGTTAAAATCGGGTGACAAAATTCTTGGACATCAATGCAGCAATTCTTCTGGTCTAACAAATGTAGACCACTCTCAAGAGGAAAATATTAATATGACAAAAGGAGTTTCGTAGTTTCTATTCTCTCTAAATGAAATACCTGACTGATGATTAAATGTTCAGCTGCTCATTGTCTATGATGCACTAGTATTACTGAAAGTAGAAGAAGAACAAATACTTACTAGGTATTACTGATCTCTCAGACAAAGTATTGTCGGATTCCAGCATTTTAGCTTAAGTCACAAATATTGCAAAAATGTATGGAAGCATTCAAGTCCCCTTGTCTCCCAAATTTGTCCGTGCTTACATTGGGTTGCAGTCTCATTGTTGCATTTTTGGACTATTTAAAGTGAATTAGAGTATTTTTTCAATTAGTATTGGTATTGGATTTGTTTCTATTTATACATTTTTTGAGTTTACATTGACTGCTTTGACAAAGGTGACCTAAAAGTGGTTACTTGTCTGAAAAGTCTGTAATTAAATATTTGGTAGTGAGAAAATACTGGATGAAGAAAAGCTAGGCATTGAAAATGTTAATCTAGCAGCAGAGGTTTTGTCTGTTGCCATAGTCCTGTATTTGCATATGTATGTAGGACCATTTAGAAAAAGGACACAAATGGATGGCCAAAGTGCGAAATCATGTATTTCCGTTTGTGACATTGCAGTTTCTTTTCGCTTTTAATTTTTTTTAGGGAAAAATAAACAACAAAATTTCTTGAAAGCTACCTTGGTTTTTCTTCTGTGCTAGCAGAATAATTAATATGAGTTTTAAGCCGTCAAGGCTTGTTTCTCCTTTAAGATATAAAGTAGGAGTTGAAATTTTGAAGCACCGCAAGGGAGATACATGGTTTTGCACTTAAATATGCTGAGATTTTGCAGATTTCCATGTTTCTTTGTCAATTAGAGGCTTTTAATTTTATTTGTTTGTTCTCTAAAAAATTCTAATTTTATGAGGTAATTTTTTCAAATATTCTGTGCATGGTGAAGCAAAATTTAATTGGAGTAGGAAAGTTGCACAATCTTCGCAACTTTAGATGAACATGCTCCCTTTTTCCAAAAGATCCTTCATATAATGAGAACTTGAAAGTTCACTATTGATCGGCAAGACTGACACATTTTTCTGGAGAATCCAATTTAAATAAAATAATTTTCATAAAACTCGTGATTGGTAGTGAGTCAAAATTATGGCTGCAAACGAATCTACTCATATAACACTTGCATTCATTATAATATTGGCTCGATTCTTTTTTTTTCTTTTTTTTTCTTTTTTTATATGGAACTAAAAATATCACTATAACTTGAATTTTCCATAGAAGGATAGCAAATAGAAGCTCATCAAAATAACATATCAGTTTTTAGTAAATTTTTCATCACTTGCTCTTCGTGATTTATGCTTGAGCTTGGCAGGAGGTGAGTCACCGTCTACCTGCAAAATTAACTTGTAAGCTTTGTGATATGTTTACTATCGGTATATTTTGTAGTTATTTATTTGGGTAATTATTTTGTAACTTATTTAAGTTTATTAATAAACACTAGAAAGTAAAAAGAAAACAAAACACAAGTTTCATTTTCTTTTAACTAATTTTTAGCTATTATGCAAATAACTATCTGAAATGATTTACCACAAACAAATATTTATCTAGCTATTTCAGTGATTCTTCAAAAACTAGACTGATTATAGAAAAAAAAAAACCTTCTTCGAAGACCTGTAATCCTGAAATTAATCCTCCTTCGCATGTGTGTTTCAAAATATGTTCTAATACACCATGTTAGTTCTCAGAGATCCTAAGGCGTGATCATCTCAGAGGTTTGGGCTTCGGAAGCCCCCCCCCCCCTCCATAACCGTGGTAATGTTTTGAAAATCTCAGGAATTGTGTCACCCTCTCTTCTAAAGTCTAGTTCCTCCTCTTTTTCCTTCTGTAGAACACATCTGCTTCTAAAGACGCACCTGGTTACTAACGGGAGGTTAATTTCGTATCTGCCTCTAGCAGGGCCATAGCTGAAGTGGGTCCAGAAGAACCCGCCCTCCCGAAAAATGCATCACACTCCCTGATCCATCAACTTCCTATTCACTTTCGCTTGGCCTCGTTTCAAACTGTTTCACCATGTACCCCTTCTCTCGTATTCCACCCCTCCTCTCACTTTTAGTACTCAGTGCAGTATGACAATTAAAGTACGACCTTAGATTTACATGATCGAATAATTTTGAGTCATGAGTCGGCCATGCCAAGCACTATTTCGTGGGTAGTTGCGATTATTCCACGAACTGGAAGGTTAACGTGGCGAAATAAACTCTCTTAAATGCATGAATTCAAAAATATTATTTTTAAAAATGTGTTACCTACTCTGTTTATAGGGCGAGTGAATAGGACTGTAGGATAACATGTATGGCTCATGGTTCTATGCGAGTGAAAAAGATCACCTCAAAGCGCAGTGCCGCGCCTTGCTAAGCCAGTGATATGAGTACTGCATGATAGCAGGGGCACATGTCATCGAAGGGTCGAAGTTCAGAAGATAGTCAAATCCCGATCCCAATCATCGCGGTGAGTCCTACCTCTGAAGCTTTTTCTTGTACCGCCGTCCGCCGTGCTAAGGAAGAACGCCGTGTGAGTCCTCAGGTGTGGCCAAATTTTCTTCAAGAAATCACGAATTTTCAGGAAAATTTATAAATAATTTTCTTCTGATTCTTCAAAATAATTTGTTCGTAATTTGGGCTAAAGTGTCTGAAAATTTCAATGAAGAATATTCATAAATTTCCTCCAAAATAAATATTTTCCGAAAGGCAATTTTGCAACATTCGAACGCTCATACGGCGTTTTTCCTTAGCACGGCAGTGTACCTACCTCCCGAGTCTTAGCAAATTCCAGTGCACCTAGCCTAAGATTCTACTAGATCCTTTAAACAAACATGCACCAAAAAAAAAAAAAAAAAAAAAAAAAAAAAAAAAAAAAAAAAAAAAAAAAAATAGAAAATGACGTGCAAAATGTAGAATTTTTAAGGCACCGAATATAATCTACTTGCTTAAGTACCTACTTTATCAACCTTTTGTGGGTTACCTACCACTGCTAGATATCTTGCAGTAATGCGATGAATACTACAATTTTCATTTCAACTCCCTGGATGCAACTATTCGGGCTCCATGGATGTCCGTGTTGCATATGCACGGGATTGAAGGCGTTTTGACCGTCCGGGCACTATCCACTTCACCCACATTTCACATAACTGATCTCACATGTTAAACACCAACTCAGCGAAATTCCTCCCTTTTTTTGCGGAGGACCAAGTTGATCTATGTGGGGGACAGGCATGTCCAACCCCGGGCCACCCCGTAGAGAGAAAAAAGGAGGTGTTCGCATTTCGGGCATCCTGTAATTTTTTTGATGACGTAGGTCGGCACAGCGACTTTTATCATCGATTTTCTTGGCAATGGTGTAATTTATGGAAAAAAGTCATTCTATAAAAAGTGCTTGAAGTTATATCATGAGTTGATTTAAGCAAAAAAGTGGGGCATTATGGTCCTTTTTTCTTACTTCGAATGGAGATGTTGCGTGTGTCAGGAATTTGCGATTTGACTGTTGATTCTCATGTAAAAGTTCGCGAGAAACACGATGGTGCCACTGGTTTTCTCTGAAATAAAACTATCAAGCTCAAAAAAAGCGCTCAAATTGAGGCCAAAATGGAAGGGCTGCCACTTCATTTGGGGACTCAAAAACTGAAAACACGGCATCACTGCTAATGTATTTGCTCCTTATCTTTGCATGGAGAGTTTGTCTTGATGTAGAGGTGGACTCTCAGGGTAGGGTGGGATATCTCCTCCATTTTGGCCTCAACTTGAGAGCTTTCTTTGAGCTTGGGAGTTGATCTCAGAGAAAACCAGTGGCACCATGGTGTTTCTCGCGAACTTTTACATAAGAATCTAGAGTCAAATCGCAAATTCCTCACACATGCAACATCTCCATTCCGGATTCCGCTGGCCAGGTCGAACCGACCTACGTCACAGGGTAAACGAACCTCAAGATGCAAACACCTCCTTTTTTTCTGGATGGGGCCACCCTCGAGTTTGGCTCGATAGCCCCCGGAAAGTTGCCAGCGAGCCCGGCCCTGGCATAACACCTGCTATTCCCGTGTCAGGTTTGGGCAGCGCCACAGAGCGGTTCGAGCGCCAGGCGTGGAGCTCGTGTCTCCAATTTAGCGGCTATCTCGCTGCCTTGCGTCGAGAATGCGCGGGAGATGCTCAGTCACATCCACGTCTGAGATCCACAATCAGGCCCCCGGTCCCGACTTGGACGCTCAGTCTGGTTCCGACGCGACGCGCGACGCCTAGATTGATACGTCTCGGCCGGGAGTTAAGTGCCGCGTCCCCCGCCAGCCCCCGCCCCCGCCCCCACCCCTCCGGAAACGTGTGATTAGTCCGTGCCGGTCCCCCAAGTCCCCCGGCCCCGAGATGGGCGCTCACTGGATATTCTGCCTCCTCTTCGTCTTCACCAAATTCGGTGAGTCTCGCCGTCAGCCCCGAAACTTCTAGTTCACCGGCTTCGCGCTCCAAGATTCAATGCTGGGATGGAGCGTGTAGTGTAATTTGCCTCAGCTCCGGTTGAAGGTGATTCTGCTACACCGGAAAAACGGATACCGCGAGGTTTCGAGCAAATTTTGCCGGATCCAGGGTTGCCAGTCAGAGAATACTGGGAAATGTCAGGGAATTTTAAAAAGTCAGAGAAAATTGGGAAATGTCAGGGATGATGGGGCCATCTCGACCCCGAAACGCGTCTCAACTAATTTAATATAGCGCAAGTGAGCTCGCGAGTTTTATCACCTTTTCTGTGAAATTAACTTTGTGACTGTCACCCACAGAAGTTTCTATAAAATGTCAGGGAATTTTAAAAAGTCAGAGAAAACCGGGAAATATCAGGGAAAATGACGAAAATGTTAGGGAAAATTTGTTAAAAAATCTTTATTTGCATTCTGGAATGGGTTTGAGGGTTTGGACAACAAATTTTGTCCGAAAACTATTTTCAATTACGTCTTCTGAACCACCTACCATATCTTCACTTGTCAGGGAATTTCATCAAAATGTGTCAGGGAAATGTAAGGGAATTTCATTTTCTAAATTCTTTGGCAGCCCTGTGTCCTGTGATCACTAGTCTTTCCTTGGGAGTAACAACTCGTGGTTTTCCGGACGAGGAAACCATTCCAACTGGAATTCCATTTCAAGGGTGCAAAATTGCGATTGAGACAATTTAATTTTTTACAAGAATTTACCTGTGAAATTGTTGTCAAAAATTTTTCTGATTCTTGCATGGGATCAGAAAATAAATCGGTGCAATTTTCATTCAGAAATGTTCAAGATCCTCCTAGTAAAGTTGCAATTTTCTAGATGAAATTTGGCAACACGTTTCTTCGTGAGGGGAACGACAAACTGTTCCATTTTGAAGTGAAATATAGGGGTAACAAATCAGTGGAAAAGTATTTTGAAAGTTCTGAACCAAAACTCAAGGCGGCCCCACACCGGAAGTAAACAAATGTCCAGATCTTGCAAATTTGGCCGAAAGACTGGTTCCACCTTAAATGTTTCGTGAAAAACTGATTTATCATGCCAAAAACTTTTTTCGAGATTAGCTTTGCGGCGTGATTGATCAGCTCTCTGCCGTAAAATAATGGAAAACCAGTATTTTAGCTAGATCTGTTCGGATTCTCTATATTTGTATCGAGATTTGAAAAAATGTTTCTAATTATGACCAAGGTTCAACAAACGATATTTTCTGCTTAGAGAACAGCCAAGCCGCGGTCAACGTTCCCATGTGCTCTAAAAAAATGTCTCACTCGTTCACAGATGACCCTAGTGTGAGGTTATCTCATTTTTCTGTAGATTTCAAGGGCAATACTCGATTGAACGTGTTTTATGTCTTCGTCTAAATCTTTTTTAAATGTCATGGTATGATCCGTAACGAGGGTGTTGGTAGCTGATAACGCCGTGAAAAACTGTCAGGCTTTAAATTTCTAAGATGGGTTTCGATCCGTGCTTCCCCAATTTTGAGCTCCTCTACAGATGGTGCACGCTGCAGACGTGTATTTCAGAAACAACTTTTGTCCCATCAGCATTCCTACAGAAACGAGTGCTTTTACAAGTGGCCCACAGTTGTTCTGCCGTGCTAAGGAAGAACGCTGTAAGAACACTCGTGAGTATCCAAATTCCCCCGAATAAAACATGTATTTTTGAGGCAAGTTCCGCATGTTTTCCCTAGAAATTTTCAAATATTTTAAATTAAATCGTGAACAAAATTGACTGAAAAATTCGGGAAAAAAATATTCACAATTTTCTCAGTGAATGCGGTTTTTATCGAAGGAAATATGGCAACGTCTAAAGGCTCATACGGCGTTCCTCCTTAGCACGGCATAGTATTCGTGCCTTACTGCAAGATACAATCCAGTTTTTCCGTGGACATCTGACGACCCAAAACTACAGCTCTCGGTATTTACATGTCGGGGAACAGTCAAACTTTTATCGACGATTTTAAATCGAGAAGTTGCGTTTGTATGTACTTGCAATGAACTCGCCAGTTGAATGTTTGCATTATCTGGTTTCTCGTGGGAACGAGGGGGGCGATCTCGGGCACATCAACATTAGCAACCCGGGAAATGTTAAATGATGCGCGAGTGCATAGCGCACCACGTCCGGAATTTTCCCGCTCACGAGGAAATTAGCGCAAGATCTCATCAAGAGACAACCACGTAGAAACTGGGATGAGAGTGAACGTAATAAATGGCAGAGCGGAGGTTCGGAATTCTGGAAACAGGACTCTTTCGCGTGTCACGGAATCGTGTTTCGATGGTCACAGCTCGCAGGCAATTACCAATCACCGGTAACTCGCAAGCCATACTATTTATATGAAGGAAATTATACAATGTAAAAATAAATACATTTTATCGCCAAATTTGGCTTGCTAAGCTGTATAAAACATGGTAATTCCTTTAAAAAAAAAATGAGCTACAAGCCAAAATAAACAAGTAATATTTAAAACTACATGTAGATTAGAATAAAAATGAAGTAAGCAAATGAGGTTACTACTAAAATGCCTTCACTTGGAATGGGCAATTTCGCTCCGTAAAACATGGTAGTAACTGGTACACTCAGGAGACCGTATGGCGAAATTTGTGACCTGTTGGTTCGAACAGGTAGCTAAACTAATTCCGCGACAAAGCGTAGAGTATCACATAAAAATGAAGGCACTCTAGGTTGAGATCGTGCTTTCAAAGTTCATCACCAATGAAACATTCATTATGCCTGGCGATTGATCGAACAACACAAACATCAACAATCAAAACCAGCATGTAAGCCTACGAATTTCCGACGATTGTTAGCACTGCCTGCGAGCGACACACATAAAAAAAGCACTGTGTATGACCAGGCCATCTATTGGTCAGGAAGCTTAGAAGGTCCAGAGAAAACGCGTAATTTTTTGTGGGATCCGATTGAACGGAAAAAGTGTATCGCCAAACATGCACGTGATCCGCAATTTTTCGGATTTTATGTAGTTTCTCAAGCAAAATTTATGAGTGCTTCATTTTAGGCCGTGCAAATGATAACAAGGTGTCCTCTCGTTTGATTGATGAATTATCCATTATCATTGAGCCTCAGTAAAGCACTTGAAAACTCCTCAATTTTTCCTCGAGATGAGGTACTTAATTTTTTTTCTTTTCTTTTCTTTTCTAAAGTTAGGATAAAACGCGCTACCTTTTCTGGAAGAAATAGCGGCATTTTAAAGGGCAAATCTCCCTTACTTCGTGTCTATGAGGTCGTTTTATAGAACTTTAGTCTACCTGCAAATTCTCATACGCCTATGATGAAAGACTAGACACCGCCACACCGTTGATTAACCCTCAATTGAATTGAATACGGTCAAGTTCAATTAAAAGGCCAATTACGACAAAACTATCATATGGTTTTATTTAGATGCGCCTTTGCACATAGGGGGAGGGAGATCGGCGGCTGCTCCCTCCGGAAGAAATGACGAGAAATTTCAAGACACGTTATTCGTGATGAGAAGGTTTTAAATATTTTATTCTCCAAAATGGAAATTCAAATCTGAAGTTAGCGGGCTACCCACGCAGCTGATTTGAATTCTGACTGTTTCTCCTAAACTTCACAACAAATCCGTTGTCTAGCATGCCTTAGAATGTCATTATTAAATTATGAAATTTTGCAACGACTGCAAAGTTAGATTATATTATTATGATGATGTATAAATTTCAATGGCCATTGGCTTTTGCACCCGACCCGCGGTTTTTTATTTATTTTTATTTTATTTTATTATTTTTTTCGTAAGTAGACAATTACCCATAACTGTCAGGAATAAACAAGAAATATCGCCATTCAATTCGAATCTTTAAATTCTCGATCAACTGTGCGCCTATCCTACTCCCGCGTCCCAACTTTTATGCTAATCTTTCCAAGCTCTTGTTGCGCCGCTGTCGAATTTTTCAGAAATGTTTAATTCAAGGCCATGCGTTTGTTGCTTACACTCCATTGATTTTTCAACTTAACAGGAAGTAAAATTTTATGCGTTGACAAAATAGCATTATGGTTGTTGACAAATTGAGCGTTACGCACCTTCATGGTATGAAAGAAGCTTTTTCAGCTTCCAATCAGATCCAAAACGGCTAGTATTTTCAGAAACACCCTAAATTAGAGAACGTCTACGCATATGATGCGATAATTTGGCGTAATAATTTTTTCGCTGTATCAGTGACCCTACCAGCACTGCCGTGCTAAGGAAAAACACCGTATGAACCTTCATATGCGTTGCCTTTCCATTCATAAAACAGGAATTTCCTGGTAAACTTATGAGTATTTTGCTTCCAATTTTTTCAGTTAATATTTGCAATTTTACCGAAAGTTTTAAATTATTCATAACTAACCTAAAAAATAAGCATTTTATTGAGAGAAAGTTGGCAACTCTCGAATGTTCATACGATGCTCTTCCTTAGCACGGCAGAATAGTGTGGAATGAACAGAGTCACGCCGCGGAAAAAGCTGTACATTTACTCAAATTCCGCTGATGTAACTTTCGTTATCACTGGCGTTTACTTTATCGAGCAAAGCGGTATGATGTAATGTTCCAAAGTTTTACCATGACAATAAAATCAGTTCAACCGAAGAATGTATGCACCAAGTTCTGCTTTAGCGAAAATCGACTGTCCTACGCTGCCGTGTTAAACAAGAACGCCGTGTGAGCCATCACTTGTTGACAATTTCCTTCGAAAAATCATGAATTTTCAGAAAAATGTGTGAATATTTCTTCTCCGATTTTTAGAGGATTTTGTTCGTGATTGTATCTAAAAAGTATGAAAATCACAAGGAAAAATATTCATAGCTTTCTTCAAAATTAAATATTTTCTGCGCGGATATTTGGCAACATTCGAATGCTCACACGATGTTTTTACTTAGCACGGCAGAAACGCACGGCTGCCGTGCGAAGGAAAAACGCCGTATGAACATTCGAGAGTTGCCAAATTCTCTCCTGAAAACGTTTATTTAAAATTTAGAACAAAATTCTCTTAAAAATTGGAAGAAAAATATTTACAAATTTTCCGGAAATTCGTGATTTACCAAAAGAAATTTGGCAACGCCTGAAGGTCCATACGGCGTTTTTCCTTAGCACGGCAAAAGTAGGCTGTCGTGTTACGGAGGAAATCCGTAAGTGCATTTCTGTATAAGACATAGGTAGCACATGCTCTTATGTGTCGGGAGGCTCATCTCAGACTCCTCTTACGGCTTTTTCTGTAACGTGGTAGGAGGTAGGTGTGACGTCACGGCAGTGAATGAACCGTGGTTACTTCTAGGCACGTGCTGCAAGGGTGCGTTGCCCTGCGCATGCTCGCTTTTGTACATTACTTTCCTAATTAATGAGTGATTTCAAGCGAAGAGAAGTAAACTGTAGCGACGAAAAATTAATGTTTCCAATATAGTTCGTATATGCTCCAAAAATTAGACTTCGTTCTGCAATTCGTCGCTCCCCTGACGAAGCAACGTAACTCCATTTCATTGTTGCCAAATTTCCCCTCGCATATTGCACTTAAAATAAAATCTCGGGAATTTCTTACTGAGAATTTCACTGATGATTCCTGTGGTCTCATGCAAAAATCAAGACAATTTTGGCGAAAATTGCTCAGGTACATTCTTTTGAAAAATCGTATCTTTTGAGTCAATGTTGCAACGTTGGAATTGAGTCACGTTTCTTTGTACGGTAAACGACAAATTATGACTTTTTGAAAGTGTGGGAGCTCCAAAAGTCTATAATGGGAGAAATCGAGTTTTCAAAAAGTTATTTACCCTAAACTTAGGCTTATACATTCACTGTGGCTGCTGTCATACATCATCTAATACATTTTTATTAATTTTCCGAGCGGTTTTATATTTGAAACAGTCGGTTTTTTAACCACGGTATTTATTAAAAAAAAAACATAAGTATTAAACCTTTTAGATGAAAGCAGGAGATGGCAGGGCCAGATTTACCTACTTGCCGCTCTTGCCGCCCATGGGCCTCCTGTATTTCGCCGCCCCCATCTTATTCGTTTTGAAACATCAATAAGAACCGTCAAGTGAACGTGCCGGAGGGAGAGGGATGCATAAGACCCGTTTACTCGTGTTGGATACATTTTTTGCGGAAGCCCCGTCAACACTACCAGCAAAAATTCACGGAACTTGGCGCGAAAGTCAAGTTCCGTAAACCTGTCTCTATGTGGACAATGCCTTCCATTAATAAGAAATGAACGAAAAAATTATGAAAGAACAATCATAAATTTGGTTCAATAATTTTAACTTCCACCGCCGCGCCGTGCTGAACGCACTGTGTTTGACGCAATGCGTGAAGTATTCATGCAGTCTTGTAGGCGCTATGCGTTACACGACGACCGTTGCTGACCGCACTGTGTTTGACGCTATGCGTGAAGTATTCATGCAGTCTTGTAGGCGCTAATATGTGTTATACATGCCGACCGCCGCGCCGAGGGCCTCTCCTTTCCATCTCAAGTCTGCGTCATCATTGCTCTCTGCGCCGCGCCGTTCTAGGCCAAATTGCGTGTTTGATTTCTCTCTCAACTAGACTAATGAAAGGGCAGCCAACCAAAAATGTCACTGACAAAATTCAGATTCCAATGTCAGACCAAAACGGCCAAGAATGTTCATAAATGAGCGGCCAAATTGCGTGTTTGGTTTCTCTCATAACGCGACTAATTAAAGGTGCTGTCTTTTGTATGACCGCAAAACGACAAAATTGGAAATTACGATACCCACAGGTAATGCAAGATTTTGTCGCCTTTTCTCGTTTGCAATTTTATTTTTATATTTACGTTTACAAAAATTGCAAAATTTGCCGCCCCCTAAATTTGCCGTTATGGGCCGCGGCCCATGTCCCATGTGGCCACCCCCTTAATCCGGCCCTGGGAGATGGTTGAAGAACCTGTGTACGAACCCTAGAATAAAAGGTACCATTTTACTAAACTATATGATTCTTGAAGATATTCTGACGTATAGTAATTACATGCAAATCTAATTTTATCTTTTTTCTCTCTTCCAGGATTTTATTGTCAGATGGCGCCTGGTGAGTACGCGTTTCATTTTGTTATCGTATCTTTATATTCTACACCTGATTTTTACTTCGTGTATATTTTATCCCCAGCCTCGATCATTCATGCGAAAATTGTACTGATTCATATTTCGGATCGACATTAAATGGGATGAAACATCGGTTTACTATGAAATATAAACAATGGCTGATCATTTTGTATTTAGCCAGTATTCAAAAGGCAAACATGCTTGTGATTTTACTGGGGAGTTATTTTTTTAATCATGCTTTGTGCATCATGAAATTTTGACAATGTATCCTGACCCTCTTCACCGGCTCATTGTTTTGTCGCGTGACGAAAGTCATGTAGACCTCTCTCGTTTTCGCATCAGAGAAAGCATCCTAGGAGAGCCGCCAAATATCATTGCAGCCAAGAAGGTCGAGAGAATCTAGATTCTGGTGAAAATCAACGCAGTTCCATCGCTCATATAAGATTTTTCATAGCCTCGATCCTTTTAAAGACTAAACTATTGAAAATTAATACGTCTAGTTGAACAGCTAGGACGTCTTGCCAACAGTTGCTAAGGGGACGTGAAGCCAAGGGCCTTTGTTTCATCTAAGTTTACGGAACGACATGCAGGTTCGAATAGATAACTACTCTCTCTCCATGATAAGTGTATTGCCTATGCTGTTAAATTGAAGGCGAATCTCGCGTGGACGACGTCTGTCTGGTCTATAGGTCTGTCTATAGGTGTTTGCACTATCCAGTGGTTCCACTTGAGACATTTATAGAGCAAGATAGGTGGACGGCTTGTATGGGCACTGAAATTACAGATGAAATTTTGATTTAATCTGTAATTCGAATATTGAAGCATATGAATCACTGGTAAAAAAAAAAACCTCTTGGTTCAAGAGTGCAGTTTCTTGTCGCCGGATTTAAGAGTCTGGACTCTTGTTTCAATGCGAAATTCGCTTGAATCAATGCAAAATCCGCTTGAAACAAGAGTTCAAGACTCTTAAATCCGGCGACAAGAAACTGCACTCTTAAGTCAATGCACCGCGGCATCGGTCTAAGAGGTTTTTTTTTTTACCAGTGATTCCTCGACACTAGGATGATAATTTATAAATTGCTTGAATTGCACACATTTTCATAGAACCGTTTTTTGGTGAATTTCGGAATTTCCCTGCGGATGTATTTACTTGCTTTCCGCGGGACAAGAAAACTCTTTGAATTAGTAGTACAGTGATCGTAGTTTGGCACATACGACGTGCCTATTTGAATCGTTCGTCAGTATGACCGTAACTGATGATGTATTTTCTTACCTAAGAGTTGTCTAGCCACGCCTGTGACATATTTTATGGCAATTCTTTGTCTCTGCAGACGGTAGACTGTTTATTACAGTCGGTTTTTTATGTTGAGGCTGATTGAATTGAGACGCGGACTGCGTAAAAGGACCATCTTTCGCGTTGGCTTGTTTTGAAAGCATCGTAAAATTTCTCCTCGCCACTTGTCATTGTTAAGCGAATATTCCAGAAGTACGCCGTCAAAGAATTTTCACCCACCTATCAGAAAATATGTCAATAGCTTACAATTACATCGTTGTTGCATTCGATTTACCCAACAAATCGATAACCGTAGTGCGAAATCACGTATCTCCATTGTGGTGTTTCCTAATTTCTGCTTTTATAATTTATTTTTCGGAGAGAAACGAGTCAACCACATAGCTTGAAATTTTAACAGTATTTTCTATTCACAGAGAAGGGAAATCAAGAAATGTATCAAGAAATTCCGTCGACTTGTTTCTCAAAGGAGAAATAAGGTAGTTATGATGATGACCCTGGTAAAAATTGGCGATAAGAGCTGCGTTTCAAAATACCATAGGAATTCTTATAGCCGGCTACAGAAAATCATATAGCTGGCTGTAGAATGCGGAGAAAATCATATGGCCGGGCTATACGAAGCGATAAAAAATTATGCAGCCGGGCTACAGTTCCTATCGCCGGGCTTTCCCCTTTATCGCCTGGCTGTTGCTTTTTCGCCATCGATTATAATAGGCTATGAGAAATTGTGTAGAAATTCTTGTGCTTTGGAAATCATTAAGTTTAATACGGAATCACCTTAATATTTACAAAACACACTAATTTTTCTTCAATACATATTTTTTTCATCAATTAAAATGAGAACAATCCATACAGGATGTGCAAACGTTTCAAAATCATGAGTTGAATAACGCTGACTCCGCCAGATTAAATATTAGAGCCTAACACAAAGCGGAGCGGCGAAGCACTGGCGCCTACAAACCTAACAGGGATACTTCACGCATTGTGCAACGCGTGAAGTATCCCTGTTAGGTTTGTAGGCGACAAAGCGCGTTTCGCGCTAGCTGCCCGCCTCCCGCGCCGCAGCGTGCCACGGCGCTTGAAGCAACTATTTCACACCAGAGGTATTGCGCAGTATCATACGAAACTGAAGGCGCTCTAATATATTAGGAATGGCAGGCATCCATCAAAGCGAGCTTTTCTCGCAAAATAAATCAAGATACTACGGCCCAAAAAGAGCAGAGCAGTAGCCCAAAAACTCACCAAGTCCTAGCATCCGTAATTAGTAAAGTACTTACCATAGGTACACTTTATCGCCTGGCTCTTAATCGCCATCGGCTATAAAAGGCTATAAGAAATTGTGTAGCCGGCTATAGAAGCTATTGGAAATCTTACAGCCGGCTGTAGGTCCATGGTGTTTTGGAACACAGATTCTACTGCCAATTTTTACCAGGGGAGAATTCTGCAACGTCGCAAATGGAGATACGTGGTATCGCACACTGTAGGCTCTGAAATCTAGGTGCCGTTTATTCGCAAGTAACTCTTAAAATCAAATTTTCAGGGATTAACCGCGGATTAAAATACGTTTACGGAAAAGGTAACTTAATAATTCATCCGTAGTTCAGTTCCTGGGTAGTAGGATGTGAAAATTATTTATTAAGTACGAAATGAATAATTTCGAATTATGTCCCGGATTTTTGTATTTTAATTGATAAAGTTATGAATTTTCTCATTTGGACGTATTTATGCTAAATGGAACTATGTGCAAGTGGAAGGATGGAGTGTGCTCGTTAGCGGTCGGGCCATAAGAATGAATGGGAAATATAAAGCGCCAGTGACGTCAGCGGCAACGACGAGAGAAACGACGATCGGGAAGGCGATATTTATAAATATGTCCATTTAAACAAAGTAAATGTTCATTTTTCGTTAGAATTCATTCATAAGATCTACTGGGCCGATCTTCATGATTTTTGCAACTATCGATAGGGAAGTCCCTAGATGAGCTCGTTCTATTTAGATTAACTCCCGGAGGCCTGGAAAGTCGGCCTTAAAGGTGGTGTGGAGCGCCCTCTGGGGCACGTACAAGCGACCAGGGGGTGTTTTGATAATGTTAATCTATCGTATAAATTGCAGAACGCTGATTTATCAAGAGCGCGAAGAAAGATCCACCATTTCGACCCTCCGTGGCTCCATAGGGACATCCCTTCGCCCCTCGTAGCCATCGCGTATTGTCCCCACCGGGTCTCTTACCCTTCGCGCTTTCGTGATTACGTCATACCTTTGCGCTGTCGGATTTATACCGAAAAAAAAGATAGAAAAAAAAAAAAAAACACTACGAAGCAAAATACCTTTTTCCCGTTTTATGCGGAGAAAAACTTAGAGTTTAATAAATTCTACTGTGCCAATGGAAAACGCTGCATGTACTTTTGGACGTTGCCAAATATTTTTGAATAAATCAACACATTCTTGTAAAAAGGCGCTTATCTTTCTCCTTGAATTTCCGGTACACTAGATTAATTTTGACAGAACTTCTCTGGAAAGGCCAAGGAAACAATATTCTTAAGTCATCTACAAATCTGTAATTTAATATATCAGATGCAATACGGCAACTTTCAAATGTTGGTGCGGCGTCTTCCTAGTAGAACTCTTCTAATTGATTTCTATAATTTTCCCCAGGATTTGACCTGAAATTACTACCAGACAATACTAAAATAAGGCAAAAACTATACATGAAAAACGTCTTTCAGAGGGAGAAATTGAAACACTGCATAATATCAACCACTTTTATCTATACTGAAGACAGCAGTCGCACTATCATTAAAATTGTGTAGCGAACAGACTGATCAATGAACCAATAATTAGCAGCTCAAATAGCGATCGGTGAGGCTCTGCTAATCTCCCAAGATTAGATTGTTCCGTCGCTTTAAATTGAAACCGTATTATAAGAAGTACACTGGAAGTTGATCAGTTGGGGGAATAGTGAACCTTCACTCCGCAACCAGTCAGTGGATTTTCATATTTACCCACGATAATTGATCACACCGAGAGAGATCAAAGATTCCTGAATCTTAAACAACCGACCTAGGTCTATAAACAACCCTCGGATGAGAGATTCTTGGCCGGAATTCCGCGGAGCTGGCAACAGCGCGGCCTTGAGGTATCGGCCGTGGCCTCCGTTACTTCTTCACCTGAGCGCACAATGGGCCCGATCGGCGCAGCTTCCGAACAAGATGGGTTTATTTGCTCGTGATTAGAGTCTGCGTTGGGAGTCTAGGGCTCAAGCTTGTGAACCGCTAACAGGGTGCCTAGCATCAGTAAAAACCGTAAAATATCAGGAATTTTGGTCGATCAGGAAAAAATCAGGAAAATCGGACGTTTTATCAGGAATTTTTCTTACGCGAATCTCCTCAGCGGAGAAAGTCTTACTGCTTTTTGCCTACCGTACCAGGAGTCGAGAAAAATCAGGAAAATATCAGGAATTTTCGAAATGAAAAAATCAGGAATTTTTTATAAAATATCAGGAAAAATCCGTAAAATGTCAGGATTTTTCAGAATTAGAAAATACTAGACACCCTGGCTAAGCTAAAATTTGATTTATTTATTTTATTTTTTAAATTTTTGAGCTATCAAACTAGTAGTAGTATTATTCAGTAGATGTCCGTTCATCAGTCACCAGTTCGGTAAACAATTTTTTTTCCCTCCAATTCATCCGAATTGACATATTAACATATATTGCGAATTAATCTTTCGGAATTGATCGCAGTTAAATTTTTGTCTGGAAAAGACACTGTTGCTTCTTTTTAAATTATTATCTACTTACACTGCGAAAAAAAGGTGTGCTTGGCTCAAGCATCATGATTCCAGTGGCGTGGCGTGAATTGCGATGTATCGATTGTTATGCCATTCAAACCTATGGTAAAGAATCGATTATTTAGGTGTTCGCTGCGAACACCCTGTCTATCGATCCTTCTCTATAGATTTAAATGGCATAACAATCGATATATCGAAATTCATGCCACGCCACTGCATGATTCTTGAATTTGCCGCCGAAAATTTTTTTATCTAAATTTGAGCTGATATTATGAATATTTGATTGCAGATCACAATTTTCCTCCATCTATTATCCGTGCTCGCATCCAACAATACGTAACTTTCTAGTTCTTTTTCCCGCCCCTGCATTTTCGTCGTTAGGCAATTTGAGCTACTTTGAAGCTGATCGAACTGTATCACGCTCATAATTGATCATAATGCGGTGATTGATCAAGTCCCATTAATGGAAGTGTCCGATTTTCGGATCTATATTTTCCTACATATATATATACATTAAGCCGCTTTTATAGCGCAGCTTCGCGCTCTGCGACGCCCAATCGCCGTTGCCCCCTATCCGCCCAGAGATCATCATGCAGTTGGCACCTTCTGATCTCCTCCTTTACTCCTTGTCGCCAACCTTTCACAGGACGTCCACCCCGTCGCCTTCCGGGAGGAACCCAATCGAAAACCTGCTTGGGCAACCGATCGTCTGCCATCCTTCGCACATGTCCATACCAGACCAACTGCTTGAACCCGATATCTTGTACGATGTCCTTCTCCACACCCATAATCTCGCGCACTTTTTCATTGCGCGGATACGCTCTCTTCTTGATATCCCAGCAGACCTCCGCCAAAAGTCAACCTCAGTTGCCCTAAGCATGCCTTCAGTCATTTTCCTCAGTTGCCAAACCTCACTCCCGTAAGTTAAGATACTCTTCACGATGACGTTGTAAATTTTTCGTTTTGTCTCCTTAGAGATACTCTGATCCCAGAGAACCCTTAGCCTCGTGACAGCCTTCCTACCTTGCACATTCCGATCTTTGATAGCCCGATCCAAATTACCGTCCTTAGGTAACCAAACTCCTAGATATTTATACTCATCACAGTCCTGAATTCTCCGGTCATCCTCCAGTTCGATGCTTTGCTGGTCACGACCGATAACCAACTTTTCCGCCTTTACCATATTAGTTTCCTATACATACTCGTATATAATTTTCTGTTGATATATTGGACACCTGCCCACAAATGTCAACCCCAGTAGACTGCGCACGTGTCGCCGTGTCGCCCGCTGCGACGTGGACTCTTTTCGGCTGTCTCGGAGACTTTAACGCAGAGGAGAAAAGTTGGATGGGGCGAAACGCGCGATACAACTATTTTGACTTTCAAGAAGATGAAATTGCACATCCACAAAATGAAGGACACTACTCATTTTTCCCCCGCTGAATGAACGCCGAATGCGAACCTTCAAGCATTGCCAAATTTCCCCTGGCAAATTACTAATTTTCGGGAAAATTTTTGAATATTTGCCTACCAATTTCTCAGATAATTTTGTTCGTGATTTCATCTAAAACTTCTGAAAATTTCGATGAAAAATATTCAACATTTTCCTCAAAAATAAAAATTTTATTGAAGGAAATTCGGCAACTCTTGAATGTTCATACGGCGTTCTTCCTTAGCAAGGCAGTAGACCCCCCCCCACCCCCCTGACGTCAGAGGGGTGACGTCATGAGGTATCTACCTGTTAAGTCGAGGTAAGTCGGGGATGAGGACCACTGTGCGACGGCCTAAGTGGTAGTGGCAAGGTACTCATTTCGAAGTGGTTACGGGTTGGCCGCTCGGCGGCGCAGGTTAGTATTGGTTAGTATTCGCCGGGCTCCTGACGCTCGGCCGCTCTTCCTCAAGTCAAAGACCTCTCTCTACGTGCGTGCCTCCGCCGAGCCCCCCCGCCCTCCTCCCATCTTACCCGCCGCTAATTCCACGTCCGAGCCCCGCTGCCCGAGCCCAAGCCCCAGAATATTCTCAAAATTCCCCGGCCCCCCGTCCGTCCCGAGAAAAATTTACACACCGAATTTTTCGTCCTCCGCTACGCGTTCCCCGAGGCAATTTCTCTCGCGCCTCCGCGCAAATTCTTCTCACGTGACTTTCGTTTTACCTGGATAAATTCTCGCGAATCTAATTCTCCGGGGGACGAATTTCGAAAGTGTTTCCGGCGCATATTTTTGTTTTCCCCGCAAATTCTGTCGGTAAATTTTGTGCTCGCTCGACGTTTTTCTGGTTCCCGGGGAAACTTAACCACCTTCGAAACGTGCCTGTGGATGCTGCACTCCAAACTGATTACGTGCCTTGCTTTAGCAACCTAAAACTTCGTGTGCTTCGTAAGAAACCAAAATACAAAAAAAACAACAATTTTGTACTGATCCGTCTTTTTGTTGTCAACTTTTCCCGGTGGTTTTGTGTTATGTCATCGACTCTCATCACACTTAATGCTGCGTTTTCAACATAATTTTTGGCCCGAAAAAAATAACCTATGTAAAAATCGTGCCGCACAACTTTACTCCAAAAATACGGTCAGATTCCATGCCGTAACCGGTATAGTATACCATATCTAAGTGACTGTGCGATCCGTTACGTGTCCCTTGTAGAAATTGCAATTGTTACAATCTTAGCTCTCAACTTTATTTCGTATTGAATTTTGTCGCACCATCAACGAAAAAATACGGAACCTGATTTCCGATCGTCTCTCCGCGTATATTATCGAAGTGATGTCGCTGTATAAAGTAACAACGGGAATGAGTTAAAGTGGTCGTAGTTGGTAGATTTACTTCTAGGAGAAGTGTCATTCGCGTAAAACGCGCACGTACTGTTTACTCCCCATGCGTGACCTCTACTCGCGGTGGTGAATGACCAAGATTCCGTTGGCAGATCCTGTGCCATGACCGGCAGTGCGGTGAACGCGCGATTGTTTACAAGCCACGAGGTGACTCACCGCATACCACGCTGATCGCGTGCTGCACCAGGAGACGATCTGATTCAACTTTGACCCACTTTCCGAATCGCGTCGAAAGAGATTTCGAGCCTAATTCTCTCCGAAACTTGGACCGAAGTCCTTAAACACGGATTCGTCATCCTTGTTTTCCTCTGGATTCCTCCCTTCATAGTTTTGCGTGGTCCCAGAGAAGTTCTATCTCCTCGGAAGTGGAACCGTAGTCGAGGAGCGCTGAGTTCTTATACCGTTTTTTTTAGTGAATTTCGGTTTTGGATTTTCTTCGTCTTGGAGAGCTTGTGCGGTAATAATCTTCCTCGTAAACAATCTCATGCGTGCGGACTGCGGATGATCTTTTTGTGCAACTTTTTAAAGATAATATAGTATGACCAGTTGAATTTCGGAGTTTCTCATCTAATTTTTTTTTTTAATTTCTTCATTCATTTTTGCAAAAGTTCCGGGTTACTCGATTTTTAGACTGTACCGAATCGTGGATCTACCGTTTCGATGACAAATGATCAACATAAAATCACATCAAAAGTTTGCGTTCGAACAGCAATGCTCCCAGTTTAAGTTCGGGAGCTTCCAGTTTTAAAGTTGTTGCCAGAACAGCCAAACATACCGCCTTGATTCTTGCAAATGTGCAGGGTGCAACTCGATACCAAGATTGTGTTCGATCGTTGATCAGCGTATTACTTGAATAAAGCAAAACGAGATAAAAACAACATCGAAAGATTCCCCACGTTTAGCACAATCATCATTTCCAGTTTACAGTGACGTCTCCAGCTCCACGCAGCCCACTGAACTTTGATTTTTGCACCGTATCGGGAACGAGATTAGCGCGTTGTGCGGATTGAGTCAGTGATTTCGGAGACTTGACAGTCCGAGTATAGTGGAATTTTTGCGGGTGTTTCTGAGATACATTGGCGATGTACCTTGCAACTTTGTTGGTGGCGCTCTGTTATGAAGGGTTGTTTTTGGTCTCGGTTGCAGCGGCTGCGGGCTCTGAGCTGAAGCAATGGACTCCCGGGGTCGGTAGCTCCTTCCGGATGGAATCGACGCTGCTCCTCAACGAGAAGGACGCCCGGACGGGAAAAGACGTCGGGTACCAGGTCCAAGGAGCCGTCACCGTCGCCTGCGTCTGGCAGAACCCCGACCCCTACGCCACCCCTGACAAGCTCCTCAAAATCGAGGTGAGTCCCATTTTTCTTTCCAACGAGTCCTGTCGGGGAAAAAAAGTTAATCGATGTTAGTGCCAAGAGCCTCCAGCAGCTTGGGAAGAGCCATTGAATGAAGTCAGGATCCTAGAAAGGAGGGGGAGGCTATAAAACTACTTGACATGCCCCTGAGAAGGGAAGCGTGCCACAGAAAAAAATAGATGATGCTGACTACAGAACCTTCTGTTCACAGGGCTCATGCAGTTTCATTGTTACACTTACAGAATTGTTCTGTTGTGAGAACAGAACTTCGATCGTGGGAACAGAGTACTCTGTCCTCATAACGGAAGCTTCTGTGACTGTTACAAAAGAAGTGCAGGAGCCCTGTGAACAGGAGTATTTTTTTCAGTGTGGTCAGCGGGCTGATTATTGAAATTGATAGACACAGCTGTAGACAAAAAATACAGAAGGGATACAGAGGGGTCCTAATCTGCCGCACTAAGGAAAACGCCGTATCAGGCGTTCCAAATTTTCCCAGACAAGTCACTAATTATCAACAGCATTTGTGAACATATTTCTTCGAATTTCTCAGGTAATTTTGTTTGTAATTTGATTCAAAAAGTCTAGCATCAGAATTTCCTCGATTTTCCAGATTCTATTAATATTTGAGGTCAATCAGGATTTAATCCCGATTTTATCTGGATTTGAGGAAAAATCGGTCGTAAAGTCAGGATTTGAGAAAAGTCGGCCGTCCGATCAGATTTTTTTATCGAGCTATTAATTTTTGAGTTCTGCTTTCGCATACGCTTATGCAGAAATTTTAATTTTTCTCCGCTAAAAATCAGGATTTGGAAAAATTATGAAATCGGGATTTAGCAGCCAGAAATCAAGAAAAAACAGGTTCTATCTGGATTTCCCAAAATAAAAAAAAAATAGACACCCTGTTGGTGGAAGATGGTGGTTGCAATGGACAGAAGATGGTAGATAATAGACTAACTAACGGCAACCCACGAAAGACCCTATATTTAACCCATTATTTCCTTCCTTAGTCATTTAGGAACCACCTATTTCAGCCAATAAGTTCGCTTCATATTCCCTTTGTATTTTTTGTCGATAGCTTTGTTTATCAATTTCAATAATCAGCCCCAAGGCTGAACTTTATGTCAGGCTAAAATCGGCGCAAAAATAACAATTTTTAAAGAAAATTCTCATTAAAAATGGAACAGAACGCTAATTTTTTGCGAGTGAAGTGGGGCAAATCTGAAGCAATTTTTAAGAGGGAAGGGGGTTAACGCTGGCCTTACATGTGCCTGACATGAGAAAGGATCAAAAAAAGTGTGACGTCATTTACGGACATCCCGTTGATTTATTAGATAATACCCAATCAGTGCTTTTTGCAGTAGAAGGCGCAGTCTCCATATTAAAATAAGTGTCATCGTAATTTAGACGGATTTAATTCAAATTAATTAACTCAACTTCATTTCATGTTGCCCAATTCCTTCTCAATTTATATTTTTCCAACAGAAAATCGTAAAAATACCGCCCTGAAACTCTCCGTAAATGTCTCCGAGGTTATGGACAACACCCTTACTCACACAATTTCAGTCAAAAAGCTTCTATGTTGTCTGTTAGAAAAAATGAGGCAAACATTAATTTGATGTAGTCGCATCGCAATGTTTCTAACAATAAGCCTGCCCTAGTTAACCAGTATTAAGAATGACTTTATTCTGGCGTTTTAAAGCTTATAGTTATACCATAACCGTGAAAAGTCCTGTAATTTATGTTTTGATTTAAACTTTAAAGAATGTTTTACTTGCTGCCTTCAAACATTTTTAAATTCTCAATCGAAGAAAGCAGAGGGACTGAGTTGATCTTTTTTGTTTTAATTTACCCATCAACTTTGGTCAAAACAAAACGCTTTGAATATTCCTAGTTCCGTGTCTTGATAGTTGACATGAGATGCGCATCCTCGGTGTTATGACGTTTTGATACAACTATTACTGCTCTGGGGTTGTCCGTATTGCATATTCAAATTGATGAAGGCGACTTGGCTTCTCTGCCTTCGCAAAGATCTTTATGGTAGTGCACTGTGAGTGAAGGTCGTTGCGGCATTTTACTTCGAGGAGCAGGGAACGCGAAACCAAGGGTCAAAGGGCATCAAAGGATCACCAATCACCGTGGTATTGAGTTTTTTCGAAAATTTTGATGTGCAGTGATGGAATTTCAGATATGCGAGTTTGAGATGCTCAAGTGTATAGAAGCGTATTCCGAGCGCCCAGTATACATGTTTTCCGTATTGTTAGTATGCTTTTGCGATTTATCAACTCTTCTGGTCCGTTTAATTCAAGGGCTACTCTATTTTGGATCCGTTATTGTTCGAGTAAATGTTTTTGCTCATTCTTCTTTTCCCCTTTGTGAGGAATAAAGCATGAATGAAATATTTACAAAAAAAAAAAATAAATCGAAAAAATGACGGGATTTTAATATGTGCCCATATTCGTTCACCCGCACAAAATAGGCAATGAAAATTTGCAACGCCGCAAATTGAGGTATGAATGCTTTTTATCCCACCGTCGCGTCGGTGATGGGGAAATGGGTTATTGCGCACGCGCTAGAGTGCAATATCAGCGGTAATCCTGATCTTATGCCATCAGAACGAAACGACACTGTAGAAGGCGCCCTGAGCAACTATTCCACCACAGAAGTGTTGCACAGTATCAGACGAAAATGAAGGCGCGCTAACGTTTGTAGATCGACTGGTATCGATTACCACTCTGTAGAGTTCCACTGTTCGCGCGATATGTGACTCCTGATTGATTGATTTCTGTGAAACTTTGTGCCAATGGATATTATTTGAAAGTCGAATTTTCAGTCAAATGTTCACAATTAAAATTTCCAAAATAGCGGAAGGGGCACAGAATGATTTTTTGACGCCTTCGAAATTAGCCGACTTTGCAATCGAGATATCATTCTATTGTTTTTCTCTTCAGTTTTTTTTCAAAATCGATATGTTCTCTCATTTAACTTTGACCTCGTATCGATATCGGCGTACTCTTTAACTTTTTTTTTTTGCGTCGGAACTGCCTGTTTATTTATTCATGTATTTATTGTTTTATTTCTTTCTCTGAGGAATAATACAATCAAAGTTTATCATCTTTACATCATAGACACAAACTTGCAAAAGCAAGCTGATACACAAATTGTCACTTAAAATCAGTGCCCTTCCTACTTACCATATACTCGGTGTTATCCAGGCGCTGATATTGAACGGAATTCTTAGTGTGCACTTATACCTATATCCGAATTTTCTAACTAAAATTGATTACTAGCTAGTGATTATTGTGGCCTTTCGGCTCCAACTCACGTTTGTTCCGACTTTGTTTTCTTTTTTTTTCTTTTTTTTTATTACTTCCATTTTTTCTTGTATTGCTAACATATTTCTGAGGAACTTTTTTCATGTTTTATCTACAGCTCCAATACCCGCAGTTGCTCATCAAATCGCGAAAAGCCCCCGCACCAGAAGGATTTGTAACACACGGCTCGAAATTAGATTCCCTGAAAAACGGACCGATATTTGTTCATTGGGTCAATGGCAAAATCAAGAATGTGTACACAGTTTCAGGGGAAGACCCTGCTATTGTCAATTTGAAAATTGCTGTCGCCTCTCTCTTTCAGGTAAAGTCTTACTTTGGTATTAATTTCCCAAAAGCGTTTTCTTTGCCTCGCAAAGAAAATAACTTTTTTCCCTCTTAAAAATAGAGTTCAATTTTTCTCTGTCAATTTTCATTCTTATTCATTCGATGATACAATTTCTGCAGAGGTTGAAAAAGCTATGCCTAGAATCAAAGAAAAGAATACAAAAAAGATACCTACATGGCTGCCGTTATCGCATCGCTTCCATGTTTACCTTTCCCATGCCATGTGAGAAGAGATATTTATCTTCGTAACTTTTGTAAATTAAGTAAAACTAATTTTAGAGACTAATTAGCACATTATTTAAGAGGGTAGCCGAATTTGACAAGATTTTCAATAATTTATTCTACAGTCACTCATGATAATCTGTTTTCGTTTCAGTATCAAATTGGTGACAGTGAAGGACCAAAGGAAGAAATGGATGCATCTGGAGTATGCAAAACTTCTTACGTGTCTATTGATTCCCATACTCTCCTCAAACGGAAAAGCAATTGCAAATTACTTCCACCCTTACCATTTGTTCAGCATCCAGAGAAGGTACGTTTTTGTGTCCTAGTATTTAAGTATTAGGATTTATCTCAGGTTATTTTTTAATGTACCCATTCGACAACCCATAATAGTAAGCGCTGTTTTTTTTTTTTTTTTTTACGAAAGTTCATAAAAAAAATGCTGCACCCATCAATTCCTTTCCAAGTTTTATTTAAAATAATTTCTCATTGATAGGTGTTTATGCATAAGCACAAAGAATTATGGTTTTGCAATTTTTTATATTCTGTCTTGGAGAGATCGTACGAGGTTTTCAAAATTAATATCTCTTCAGTTCAATATTGTAAGAAAATATAATATTATTTTGCTTTAGGTGTGGAGTGCGGATGTTGACTCTAAACGAGAAGTTTTCTTTGAGTTCAACAAGGACCTTAGCCAGATAAAAAGAATTGCCTCTGAGGAGAGTCATGTCTTTCATGTCGCAGCCCGTGAAGATGTTGGAAGTATAATCACTGCCAGACTTCAACTTTTGAATTCAGGTAATAGAAAATTCCTAATTTTCAGCAAATTTCCTCTCTCTGAATTCACACTACGTTTTAGAATGTCCAAAGGTAATTCCTGCAATATTTAGGAATTGAATTTTCTCAGATATCTGCAAAATGTGAACAATATGGACCACTAGAAAATTTATGAATTTTAGCATTCTGATATATGTTTCCTCTTCAGACTTTCATGTACCCAGAGCATGATTTTACCAAGATTACCTTCTAACCAAAATATTAATGTTTTTATACGACACTAGCTACGAAAAAGTCTACAGGAACCTAATTGCGCACTTCAACGGTTTGGGAGGCCTCTTGTTGTTCAAAGTCCAAACAATGCACAACAGCCGAGCTGAAGATACCATGGTATATTTTCATCATACAGAGTCTCTTACAGAGGCCTTCACTGTGCGATAAAATTCAAGCAGTTATGGTTTTTTCTCCATCTCTTTTTATTTGCGGAAAATTAGACCTATGCATCGAAAAACGTTAATATCTTGTTCAGAAGTTACTTTCAATAATTTTCTTTGCACATATTGTGTTCTACATGAAATTTAAATGAGGATATATACGTATGTGGTACCTATGGTTTGACTCCGTGGAACAAACTACATAGAATTGTGTTTACAGGACAGTCTTGTGTTATGACAACATAAATAGCCCACTTATTAAGTTTAAGAGAACAAACACTTTTAGTTTTTGCTTACTGTGCAATATATTTTTCTGTTATCTATCTGTCTGTATAGCTTAGGTAAGATTTTTATACCTTACCAATATTTCAGTTTTGTTTCAAAATTGTTGACCTCATTCATTACTCCAACTGAATTAGGATAATTCTTGGAATTAAAACAAGCAGTGAACTCCAACACAATGTGTTGATAAGGCGCGTCATTAACTCGCACATATCAACCCCTTTAGTTTTCATTTACAGAGATTTCAAAATAGGCAAACAGCATAAAAAGAGAATTCACGATCCAACACTGCGAGGTCAAAGACGCACCTTGACGAGACCGTGTATTGTGAAAGTAGAAAGCTATTCGATCGAATTTAAGTTTTTTGATCTGCCTCAAGCAAAATCTTATCAGATTCTTGAAGAAAAGTGCTACGGAATAATTTAAGCGAAGAAAGGAAAAATTCTGTCGAACTCCTAGAAGATAAAGTCGATTTAAAGGTATTTTGGGGCTAAAATACCCAAATCACCGGTAGTAAAAATCCCGTTATATTATTGAAAAGAAATTGACTCGATATAAATGCAATTGCATTAAATACGTCTTGATTTTGTTATTTTAAACGTCTTTCCATGCAAAGAAGTTCAACCATGTCGTTGCTTTATTCATTCATGAATTGAAAGTAAGCAATCTACATCCCGAAAATCTACTGATTTGCCGTAAAAAATTGCAGAAACTTGATATACCAGGTCGATGCACCCACTCGTTGAATTTACCAACCAATTTTGTGAGTGCAAATGTGTAAGAATCAATATGCTATAGTCATTTTGGGTGCATTTATTTTTCATGAAACAATAATAATTTCAATCCCGAAAAACCATCAATTTTCCGTATAAAATCGAAAAAATCAAAATATGTCAACTCCCCGACGTGAAAATTAGATTCTACGTATGTAAAATGTAAATACTTATGTATCGATATGCTGAACAGAACTATGTGTGGACAGTCAGAAGCCCGCGGCAACATTAATTCAACAGAAAAACTGTAAAAATTAGATAGGATTTTAGCCGCTTTGCCCGCCTCTCCTCGCTACTTACAACAAACCGTTCTTATACTCATCTCAAAATTTTTCTCAGAGCTTTGGGTTATTATCAGCTTCCATTTAAACTCCGGTTCGATGGCCGAATCGGCTGCCAAAAAAGCAAGCCACTGTTGAGGGGTTCTATGAGAAATTCGTGATATTATCGGCTCTCAGGAAATCACCCCATGGCTAAAATTGGTGGTATAAATGTTTAAGTGCTTAAAATAATCGTATTCAAGAAACTAAGGAATTAAACTATGGAGTCAATTTCTTTTTAATAATATAACGAATTTACTACCGGTGATTTAGCTATTATAGCCCCAGAATACTTTTAAAGCGCCTTTGCGTTCCAGAATCTCGACGGAATTTTTTTTTTTTTTTTTTTTGCTTAAACGATTCAAGAAACATTGTAGTTAAAAATATAAAGATTTTTCGATTTGGACGTATGAAAAATGTTTAACTCGTTCAGGCACACCGTGTATTGTATGGAGTACTGCTGTTATTCGACCGTTGTCTTCAGGTCAAAATTCTTACAAAGAAGCCCCTTGCAAGAGGCAAATTTTTTGTAATTTCTCCCAGTTTTTTCAGCGTTAGGTATATAAATGAATTGTTTGTCAAATTTTGAGGTCAATTATATTTAATTGTAATTTATACTTTCTTTTTTTCCCCTTCATTTTATTTTTCGTATCGAGGAGTCGAGGTTTTGTTGATTTCTTCGGATTTCGATTACTGTAACTTCTCTTCTATTCGGCCGATTTTTATGAATGAGGTCTCTTTTTATTTGTGTTTTAACGGAGAGTAAGGAAAAAATTGCTAAATACATGCGAAACAATTTTTTTTGAAAATTGGATGAATCCTAGCGTGACGGTGAAATGGTTAATGAAGCGTGAGTAATTGGGGTACGGGTATCGGCCGCGTTGGGACCCAAGGCCCATTGTTCTTCGTGACGCCGACGCAGTGATCAGGAGCGTGGGGACGAGAGGGCTTAGTGGACTCCTGTATGAGCCACGTTTAGCAAATGGTCTAATGAGTCTCGAGGCTCATCACAGATTGCACTTACCACTATCCTGGTGGCCCCGGCTATCAGAGCAAGGAGTACCAACTTTTGAAAAGGATAACAGTGTTGTGGAGATATGTCAAAGCAACGTTGTGAACAAAACGGAGTGAGTGAAATTCTCATTCAAGGAGTGCCGAACTGGTCAGCCATCCTCGAATCAGTTCGCTTGCTTCCGCTTATATATGCATATTTTAAATCAGCGCGCCCCATTCTAAGGTTTTTTTAAAAAAAACCAAGAAACGTAGACTCTTGGTATTCATTACACATAAACTAGCGAGCCCCAGAATGAGAAACAAATTTTAATCATTATTATTGACGGATTAGTAAACTTTTTACACGCTTTGGAAAATCTCAGAAGTTCGCGGTAGTCACTTTTCGGTAAGGAACTAGGGGACTCGGTTATTGTATCGAGGGGGGGGTCGAAACGATCGCAAAGGCGGTATACTACGTATACGCGCCAAAAATGTATTGAAAAAAGGAATTGAAAATAGGAAAGAACGAAGCAAATATGTGTAAGAAAATTTAAAGTAAAAAACCAATTTAAAGTTAGTTTTCCATTTTTGTCATTGGTTTAAAATCATGTTTATTTTAATAAATCTTTGATATTTGGTTTGTGTAATATCCCCTTGGAATTTGCAGGTATTCCGTTCGAGGCCTCTGTTGCTGATGCTCCAAGTGTAGATCAAGCTGTACAAGTTCTCAGCAAAGAGTTGAGACTTTCGCTATCAGCACAATACTTAACGCTTCAGAGAGAAGTTCTGTCTTGTCAAGACGATGCTGACTCCTGTCCCAATGTAAGTTACCTGCAGTACAGTGTATTTCATAGAACAATTGGAATTCATTTCCCAATTAGGAACCATAATTTCTGACTCATTCGAAAAAGCACTTATTTGCACAGGGAAACTAAAAGCACACACGTTGTCCCTAAGATGAGCTGGAAATCGTAGTTCCTAAGGAATTGCAAAATGTAGCCCAATTGCAACTGGCTGTAAAATAATGCAATCCAAGTCTGAATTAATGGACCATATTTTAAGCCTGTAGCAACTCAAACAAGTTACAGATTATTTTCACATAAAGTCTGACCGAGAGATAATTATTCTACTAACTTGGTGACTTTGTGCCACTATTATGATCAAACTATTAAGATTTTTAAAAGCCTGCGTCCTTTTCAGAAGTTCATTTTCAAACTTATTCTTGCAAACAGGCTGCACTGCTAAATTTTGAGAAGAAAATACATTGAAGCACCCATTACCATTAGAGCTAATCTAAGAGGTGGCTTGGGTACCAAAATCCATGGATAATGTAGGTAGACCCAGAGGTTGCCACAGAAACACAATTTTTTCTCATTTTTTTTCATCTGGTGCATTTTGATGTAAAAAACAAGATCCGTGCTATATAAACATAAGCACAAATCCCATGTTAGACCAGAACCAGAAAGACTGGATCTCCTATGTTGTATATGAAACTATTTCTTCAAATTTGTTAAAAAAATATAACAAATTTAAAAGTTTCAAACTTTTTTCGTCCAAAGTCACTGTTTTTTCCAACCAATACAAAAATAAGAACTACCCAAGCTCGCCTGGGAGACAGCCTGGATTCGACAGGCCTCATTCAAAAACTTTAAAAAATTAAAAACTCGAGGGGCTAAAAGCTTTCAATCCAAGGAGTTTTAAGAAACTAGTCTCAGACTCATTACTTATCCTCCTCAATCTTGGGTCCTAGTTGAGAGTCATATCTAAGACAAAAATTGGCTGGCGAGCACCTAGAGATTGCTTTTTAGGCTTAAAATGACTTTGAGGGATTCTAATTGTCAGCGTAGCTAGGGCTGTTCTATCGGTTGTCGGTAAGCTACCGAGACAGTTCCATTAAGAAAAAGTTAAGATAAGAGCGCTCATGCCGATAGCGATCAGAGTTTTTGGAGCTGACGAAAATAAGCTGTTGCCATTTGTACATCTATTTTACACGCCGCCGCACCAGGCAATCTGAAAAACCAACACCCGGGGCAACAATGCATTGAGTGCGAGCTCTCAAAAATCCGATAAGGCCGGCTGTTGTCGATATCATCGCCACTGTCGGTACTGCGCCAGTTTCAATAAGAGACGATATCGAAAGTGTTCCGGCAAGAATTCATTTGAACACCCCTAAGCGTAGCTATTAAAAAGTTTTTAATCACTTTCAACCATTCAAAGTGGCATATTACATAGTTTTAAATGAATTCCTGAAAACAAACAGGAAATTAGCTAGTTTAAAGAAATCTTATGAACTATTTTCAATTGGCTATTGAGGATAACTAATTTTTTGTTTTTGTCTCTCAGCTCGCTCCTGTGGCTAAGCGTATTTTTATTACAATAACTCTGTTTTTTTTTCCTTTTCTAACTGTTCTTCTCTTATTTTTTTATTATTTTTCAGTTAGCAAAGCTTATCAAAGAGAATCGGGAGGCACTGCATGGCAAGAATTTTGGAACAACGAGATCAGCTTCACTTTTCATCAAACTCATCAAAGCAGTGAGGAATGGGAAGAAGGAGGAAATCATTAAAGTCATGAAACACTCCAAAAATGCCAATCTTCTGTAAGTTCCAATAATTTTCCTTCATCTTCCTAATCTCTCCATAAGAAGCTATTTTCTGTAAGCGAGTCCTGATGGTGTACTCATAGGGCATAAATTTCCGCCATGCAAGTCGCTGCACATGTACAAATTAATGTCTATGACTCAGTAACTTTGATTTTATCAAAAATACCTAGAAGAAATACAAATATTTTTCGGGAAAAGTAGTGGCCTCAACTTATCAGTAAGGAGCTGGTTTGAAAATTTTAACCTTGGTTAAGCGTCAGAAAAGTTTTTACTTCGAGAGGCTATAGTAAATATTCAGCTGATTTTCCAAATTTACCTACTCTTTGCACTACATACATTCCTGGAATTGTGTCTCTAAGATTAATTCTTTAAGAAATTTTTTATTTGATCATCTTATTCTAACCTAGTTCTATTGGAGCTCTAGAAATGTTGTCTATGATTTATCATTCAAGATCCCACAATTTTACTAAATATATCTAACACCATGAATCTATTTCAGTTATTCAATTGAAAATGTGATCCTTGTAGTATCAAGTTTGTTAAAAATCAAATTTATTTAAATTTTACCTAGTGATGTTTTGTTGAAGCTTTAATTTCCAATCCCTAATTCATTTTTGCAGGCCTCAGTTGTATGATGTGTTGGGAACAGCTCAGACAATGACTGCTCACGAAGCTGCGATGAAGCTACTCAACTTGAACAGTGAGGCAGATGTTGATAAGGCTGAAAGGTATTTTTGGGCACTAGCTCTGGGTTCACAACCGCTGCAGGCTGTGATTCAAGGTGACTATTTTTTCTAATCACTTGTAGTTATAACCTTTTAAACAGATGAACTAAAAAAGTTAACTCACCAAATGGCATTAAAAGGTCTAAACGTTTTTCATTTATGTTTTCAGACTTCAAATAAAAAATTTACCTCACAGTCGCTTGTTTTAATAATCAGTGCAAGGGCTCCAAAATAGCCAAATTGCGAATAATCACTGATTGGAAGATACACAAAATCTGGATATTAAACAGATACTCGTAGCTGTAAATAGTTTAAAAAAGTGCGTTCTTTCTTTTTACTGAAAATGTCAGCTCATTTTCGAAATAATTATGTACAAAGCTGATTTTAAGTTAATAAAATAAAATAGTTTTATGTTTCAGATTTGTCAGCATTAATTGAGAAACCAATCAAAAGTGACAAGTTACGAGAAACAATGACGCTGACTTTGGCAGCTATGGCAAACCGATTTCTGCAATTAAAAGAGTCGGATACCACACTCAATAAACAGTTGAAGGAACGAGAAGTATGACAAAGTCACATTATTAAATACTTCTTTCATTTTTACCTTTTGACGAAGGATAAGGCACCCTTCAATTACAAGCCTAGTATGAATTGAACTTCATTTTGCAATTTGGAACTATAAATTCTAGCTCAGTTTCAAAACAACGTATGTGCCATTAGTTTTCCTGTGCACATACGTGTTTTTCCAGAGGAGCCAGAATTTATAGTTCCAAATTGCAAAATGCAGTTCAATTATGCTTTAGTGCCTACTTGGTGAAAAATGTACATAAACCAATTAAGCAGGCGTGAAATCTCAATATTCAGATCTGCTTTTCTCAAAACTGGCACCTTATAAGTTGATTTTCCAAGCTAATGAAGCTCAGCAGGTCGTATAGAAAATCACTTATAAAAATAACCAAATTTTCTTTTGCTTGATTCTCCTGTATTTCTCTCCATGTCCCTTTAGACAGCCTTACTTAGCACTAAAATATCTAATCCATAAAAATAGTTGTATGGAAGTTCGATCTTCTGCCTGTGATTGAACTAGCTGTTGATTAATTCAGATTTCTAAATTCCTTGCACCTGCTTAAAAGGTATTAAGTGCACACATGATGATACTTCTCCTCGTGGTTTTAATAAAATTGAGTTGAGAGGTGAGCAGAAGCATTGTATAGTATTAACAAATTACAAAGTGAGGGACTGTTCTATGTCTTGAAAAAAAAAAACTATTCCTCTAATGATGATATGAAGTCATTAACTTCAATTTAATTTTTTAGGAGGTGGTAGCAGTTCAAAAATTATTGTCTAAAAAATTATCCGCATGCAAAGACACAGATGAATTTTGCCAACTGATGTACCTTCGAGCTATGAAAAATCTCGGCAATGAAACCTCAATCCCTCAAGTACTTGAGTTTGCTTTCAAAGGATCACGAAAGTAAGATTCTTCTGTCATTTATTCCTATTTCTCCCATATTCTTTAATCAAGCATGAACCAAGGCCATTTGGCAGAATAAANTGGGGGTCTGAGGGGGGGCGGAGGGGGTTGGGGGGCTAAAATCCCCCAAAACCTAAGTTTTAGGACACCTTTGATGACTTAAAATGGTTAAAATAAAAATCCATTCACAAGGGCATTTTGACATGCTTATCCCGGGATACCCTTTGCAATATTTTAATGTTTCAGTGCATTATTATCATTATATTTTAAATCTAAATGATTTTAGATGAACTGTAAATTTTCTATCCCATTATTAAAGAAAGTCTCTTGTCAAAACTCACATTACCTATGCTTTTTTTCACAAAGTAATTTAGTATTGTCGTATAGCATCCAAAATTTCATAAGAATCATGACTAAATTTACTATGTACTTCTCTTTGTTTTCAGAGTGAGTGTTGCAGCAATGAAAACGCTGAAGTCCTTTCCCTCCAAGTTCTGGGATGCAAATGTTTTGAGGTCAGCAGAGAAAATCTACTTCCAGCTGAGCAAGCTTTTTGATAGCAGTGCTCGAACACTGGCCATTGACATTTTGTTAGAGTCTAATCCATCTGATGCGACTCTTAAACACCTACTTTTCTCACTAACATCAAGTGATCCTGTTTATGAGGTCAAACAGTATTTGCTTCAGCGATTGAGACAATTTGCAGACAAGTAAGTGTTAACTCAATTGTACTGTGATATTGTTAGTTAGTTTGTTAGTATATTTTAAGACATTCAGCGTCACAGGCTATTAACGTCTTTATAAAGAATTTTGAAAATGGTAGTATATACGAAAATTTAGATTTTTAAATTAAGAGAGGTGAAGAGTTTCAGAATTTTGGTAGTAACATTGGGTTCATCGCATGTAAGTGGGTTTGTTTTTCTGTTGATTGTAGGGGAGTAGATCTGTGATTGGAGATATCTGAGGGCAGAGCAGTCCATAATTAATATTTTAATTTAAGGGAAGAGGTGTACATAATTTTATTCCGGATATTATTTATTTTTTTTCAGACTTACGGTTCATTCTAAAACAAAGATAATGGCATTTTATAGTTTGCTAGCACTAGTGCCCTTTTAACCCCCATCACTCACTCTATAAGTTCATAATGATAGAAACGGACTAATTTTTGTCAAAATCCCACCAGTTACATCTAGCTTCTCTCTTTTCTCAAGTAACCATAACTGTATGGGAGTGGGAAAGTTGGGAGCAGAAACCCACTTAGAATGAGATTTTAATTATTCCAGAATGTATTCATTTAGGCCTTAAAATCTAATACACTTTAGATTAGGTAGTGACAAAAACTCTACCAATCAAAACTTACCATTTTCTGTCCATATTTTCCAATTTTGCACTTCATTTTTTATCTTTGCAACAAATTTTCTCATTCAAGTGGTATTCTTTTTAGTGATGCTGAGTTTGCAGCAAGGATAAAGAGGATCGTAAACTCAGCTGGACTTAACCACTATGGAGCATTGGCGCAACGTGGAATGACAACTGCTTTTACAAGACCCTTTATGAGTCACCCTAGTGCCAATGGCTCATTACTCACAATTCAAGAAGTCTCTGGAGGAATACTCAAGAGAGGGATTGTGGATGTTGTGATTGATAGCAAAGAAAAATCTCACACTATTTTCAGTGTAAGTTTATTAACGATGGGTCAGTTGTGCTGGTCACAGAAATCATAGAATCGTGGTTTGATGCGTGATTCTCGTAGATTAGCTAAAAATACTTAGATATGTCCAAACCGCAACTTTCTGTGTTTAATATTAACCAAGATATCTCCCTTTGAAAAGTCGGGTTTTTGACATCATCCACCAAAAAATGTGAGCAAATGTGTGTTTCCCTAATTGATGAAAGCAAGGTGGAAGAAATCAAGGGTGTCACTACCAAGGTGGATGACGTCAAGAACCCGACTTTTCAAATGGAGATATCTTGGTTAATATTGAATGTATGTATAGATGCTTGGACAGATCTTATTATTCTTAGCTAATCTACAATAATCAAGCATCAAAACCTGATTCTGTGACCAGCGCCCATTATTGTTAGTCTTTTCAAAGTTTTTTTTTAGTTTAGAAACTTGAAAAAACTTTATCATTTGTGCATACTGTTTCTTTTTTAAGTATCAGTTCTCATCTTTCTAGTTTAATTTCTTTTTGTGATACCAAATATAAAAAAGAATGCCAAGAACACTGTGAATTCTGAGAAAATGTTCCAGGCTTTAAGCGAAAAACAATTAGCTATCAAGGATTCGCAAAACAGATGAGGGTTTTGGCTGGTTTTTCAAAATTTGGCCACTGCATACTGTCAATGTAACAAAAATTTACTAAAAACCTTTGGTATTCTGGGAATTTTGTCCAACTCTGAAAAGTCAGGGAAATGTTATGGGATTTTGCAGTGGAACCTTGGAATTCTTTCTTCAGGACGATATGTTTTACTATTTTAGATATCGGGAGACTGTGCTTAGGATTTTTTGTGAAACGTATGTACTTAGTCCTACAAAATTGTGCCAATTAAAAAAAAATATATTGATAAGTCATGTAAAATTCGGGCAATTTTGTAGTCAAAAACATTGGAAAGTCATGGAAAAGTCAGGAAATTATTGAAGTCAAGAAAGCTTTTCATCCTGTAGCTGTGTTAAAGTGATGAAAATTCTAGAATAATTAATATTTATCCATTCTTTTTGAATTTGTTTGCAGTTGGGATTATTTGCTGGAGGTCTGAGTTCGTTTGTCTCCTCAGATGACTCAACAAATTCACCTGAGGAAGGTGAGGAAGCAGCAACAGCAGGCATGGAGCTGACAGTCATGGGAGTTCAAATTCGGCCTTTTGTCTTTTTCAATGGTCAGGGAGAGCTTATGGGCCATGTCTGGTCCGGAACTGGATCAGAGAAAACACCTGCTTATCAGGTATTAATTTCTCTTCTCTTATTTAAGAAATAAAAACAGCCTTTGGATCAACCAAATATTTAACTTGAAAAAATTATAAACTCGGAATAACTTGCATGTCCTTATCTCAAAATTCCTGCAGAGGTGTGTAAGACATTGTCCCACCTTCAGTGTGACCTCTTCATTTCAGTCGCACTGAAGATGGGACACTTGTAATGTCTCTGTGGAAATTTTAAAGTATTGATATCCAAGTCCGGAAGAGAGGCTGCCAAAGAAGATGCTTGATTGGGTTCCTCCTGGGAGGAGACAAAGGAGACGCTCAGTGACAGGGTGGCGACAGGGGGTGTTAAATGAGATGAGGGAGTGTCAACTCCCTGATAGATTTTGGAAAGACCGAGTTTCGTGGCAAGCAGGCGGCGCAAAATGCTCGAGAGCGCTATAAAAGCGATTCATGTAAGCACATCCAAGTCAGTTTGGTTTTATTATATCTCTTTTGAATACTTACTTAATTCTTATATGGTTTGTTTCTCTGATAAGGTCATCACCTTGCTGATCCTTTATTATATTCATAGCTGGAAAAAGGGGACGTAAACAAAAATTAAGATTTGAGGGAAGCAGGTTTAAAATTTTAGTCAGTTCCAGCAGATACCTTAGGTATTTAATTGTGTAAACAAAGGTAAATTTCAATATTAAATGTGTTAAATTTTGAAAAACATAGTAACAAATCTTAATCAGTAATACAGCCATTTGTTCTCAAAGAGTGCAAACAGCCAGATTAAGTCATGTTCCTTTTCCTGGCAGATCAATGATAGGAGCTAAAAGTTACAAATTTTTGGGTTTTAAATAAATGAAATACATAAGTATACTCTTTTAATATTGTTAAATATCCTCTCTCCCAGTTATGAGTTCAGCTAGTAGACTGTTTTCAGTTTTATCTTATATTTTAGGTTCCCTTTAGCCCTTATTCTAATTCTAATTAATTTTTTTCAGGCTTTAGGATTATTGCAAGATTCGCTTCTTTACATTCCTCTGGGCACTGGTACGGTTGCCCAAATTACCTTGCTGGGAGGTATCTCATTTGATCTTTCTGGGCAGATTCAATTTAGTCTTTGGAATCGAAATGCTCACTCACTAGTAGAAAAAAAGTAAGTTTTGCTCTTGTAAAATGTTGTTTTTAAAATAACTAAAAATAAGTCTAGATTTCCTATTGTAACTTAAAAAAATTGATTTCTAATACATTTTTGGTCAAATATGAAGGATTTGATGCCAAGAGTATGAATGTGTCGAACATGTGTGCGCCCTCTCATTTTGAAATTTCAGGTTATAATTTTTTGGATCCTCTCAAATTCTCTGGATCGCATCAAAGAAATAGATTAGGTATTTAGAAATTCCACGCATTGAGAAGTGATATTTTAAAAAAACCAATGATTTTGCAAGTTAGATACTCCTTATTACCAATCTTTTTTGTAACTAATCCTACAATGCAAGTTTTTAGATCTCGCTCGTTAATTTTAACGAGGTAGGTTCCATGAAGGCTGAATGTGAGATATTCTCAAATTTTCAACTGAAGTTGAAAATTTAACTTTGTTTATGAGTGTACTGTTTATTTTCTCCCAGAAACAGTATCAAACGAAGCATATTTGTAGAAACTACAAAAACTGAGAACAATTGATAGCAAATATAAGTATTAACAGAAAAACATTATAAGAAGCTCTATTTTGTCAAATCAAAGTTAATAGAAACAAATTAGACATAAAGAATATGGTTGTCATGTTGAAACAGTTGAAATTTGACGGTTGTTGGATTTTGGAGCTTTGAATAACTAAACTCTGTAATTCTTAGATTTTTTCTTAAGACGGAGCTCTTTATTTCAATTTTTCCCAGTTTTTCTAAACGCTCCAAAAATTTTAAAATCCAGATTGTTTATTGGATACGATGTACACTTCCACTCATACCAGAGTCAAAATTAAACATTTTAATTCTGTTTTCATGTATTGCAGTGCTGGTGTATCATTACAAGGACTCGTGAAAGTTGATTCTGCTTATGTCAGGAGTCAAATAGAATTTCAAGTAGGAACAGAAGTCAAACTGAATTTAGTTTCTGACATAGACTTCTATAGCAAAGTTGCTCTCTGTATGCAGCTGAAACAATTAGATTCATTAATTAGGTAAGTTATCATCAGGTTTAACAAATTCCGTAGGCAATTTTCATGTTTAATGCAGAGCTAACAAGTTTTGAATCAAGTTGAAGTTCAAATAGATTTATCATGGAGAATTTGGCTCTACTAATAATTAATCTAGGAGTTCGCATATCCCAGGATGGAAAGATGGACCAAGATTGAAACCTGCAGGGAAGGAAAGCTATTTCTAAGTTAAATTAGATTCTTTAGGATCAAAGTATTTCCAATGAAAAATAGATATTGATTCATAACACCATAATCAAAAGCATTCTGCGAAGCGGCAGTGAAATATAGCTCATGAAAGATTGCACCCAAAGAATTCTTAGGGAATCTGAAATGGATTTCTGGCAAAGATCAGCCGAATCTCGAGAAGGGATCATGTAAGGAACGAAAGAGTGCTTGAGATAATGAATGCCGAGCAGAACATCGTGCATGAAATTATGACCAAACAGCTGGTGTGGTATGGTCATATTCAACGAATGGCAGATGACAGATTGCCTAAGAAGGTACCAGATTGGGTTCCCCCTGGGAAGAGATGTAGGAGATGCTCAGCAAAATCAGGGATATAGGTGACGATCAGGTGTTACACCCGGGGGCGCAGGAAAAGTGACTTTTATGCATGCATGTGTGTATGTATGCATGCACAGAGCCTTTCATTCCGAAGCTTATGAAATTCATCACAAAGTATTTGAGCAATTCAATTTTCATTATGATAACCAGCAGTTTTCAATTTAATTTTTCTCTTATGTAAGTTATCCGGCTGTTTTGCTCATGCAGTAGCTTTTCATTTATGGATTTGATCATATAACATTTTGATGATTCTAAGCCTTCCATCTTGTTGTCAATGACTGTCAAATGACTGTCTTAGTTTTACTTTGAATCGTCCACTTTTTTCATTACACTGCTGTATTCTACGAAGAAAAAAATCCTGTCGGATTTTTGGCCACATGAGGTCTGGATGAATGTATGTTTCGTTTTAGTGTATTTTCCGAAGGAAATACACTATTTTGTACTATTATTTTGTTGGGTGAAGAATAAATGTCTCAATGCCCTCACACACACACTTATTAATTATTAATGATAAACGTTTTGTCGTTTTGCAGGCATAATATCTTCAAAGTTGAGAGAATCCCTGGGAGCAAGCACAGGCTACGAAAGTCAACATATCGATTTGTCAAAGTTCCTGGACGATGTTATTATCTCAACCAGAAAAATAATGATATGTGTCGTGTCATATTTAAAAATACGTAGCAAGTCATTGAGTAACAAACAACATTAGGAACAAATTTTTAATTTATGCTCAGTCATTTTCTGACTCAGGGTTGCCTAGTTCCTAAAAGGCATGTCTTTTAATAGGAACTCTAAGGTCATTTTTTTCCTTCCTTTTTTTTTGTAAATGAGTAACAGAAAAGTCTTTTGCTTGCATTTTAGCATTTTTGTCGGAAGAAATCTAGAATTTCATGCTCTCTCTAGTTTATATACCAATTGAAATTCTGACATCTTTAAAGAATCTCATTAATTTTTACTGTAGGTATCCAGATCTTATGGTTATATTTACTGTGATGAATTTGAAAAGGAAATTACATAGTTATTTTTGATTATGTTCGTTTTCCCTAACTATCTCATTAGTATGGGCCTTTCCTCTGCAGCTAAAGAAAAAAATATTCCACCTTGAGTGCGCCATCTTTTGCGCATGATACATTTGATGACTGAAGTAAAAAAATGTATCTCAGATTTTGAAGTTGTTCTCTGCCCATGTTTTTTTTTTTTTTTTTTTTTTTTTTTTTTATTAATATTTATATATATAAAGAAAAAGAACCAACATTTTCTATTGAGACTTTCTAAGAATTTTCCCTATTTCTTCCAAAGAAAAAAAAATTAAGGAAACAACTCAACGAAAATAAAATTTAGGTAATCAGAGATTGGTAGATATTGCAATTAAAGTGTTAAGGACTTCCTCAAAATATATGAGATTTGAACGTAACTTATTTAAAGCTTTGGAAAAGTGGCTTTGTACATTTTGGCCATAAATTTCGCATTGGAGCGTTGTATCAACGTAAAAACATGACAGTTCATTTCCAAAGATGTGCTGATGCTGTATAATTGATTTTCATAACAAAGACCTATTTTACAGTATGCCCTTTCACAAGCAAACTCTTCAATTGAGATTCGCATTTAGCCATTGAAATATTTATATTATGATGATTCGTCTCATCATTGGATGAAATTGTTAAACCATTTTATTCTTAAAGATAAGCTTTAAATTTCATAGAAAATGTATTTTTTTGTAATGTAAAAATTACTTATGCTCTTATTGTGAGATGTAAGTAAGTATATTCTGTCTCGGATTCCACCATTTATGCATTTAACTGTGAAGGCCTGAAATTTCAAATTTTTTGTGGATTCTGAAGAGAATATTTGGAGAGTTTTTCTCCTTCTTCTTATATTTTACTTCTCATTTTATATGATCATTGAACAAATTCTCAATCGGCAGATCAGTGTATGTAAAGATTGTTACTTTAGTTTTATGTTTTGTTTACTCATCATTCAAAATACTTTTTGTTTGTTATTGTTTCTCTCTTGTTGGCCCAGGTTTAACATAGGTTCTAAAAGTACCTGCCAAGTTTGATGTTTCTCTAAGAGCTCCCAATAATATTTCCCTTTAAAATGAAATATTTTGTTGTTATTGTGATTGTGCCTTTCTTAGTTCCAAAATTCAATTAAATCAAATATTTTTAAATATTATTTTAAATGAACAGGCTATAATATTCAGGCAAAATTTCCATTTATCAAATACACATTTTATTTTCTGTAGTCTGAAAAATTGTCTAGTTTTAATATTTTTCATGTAAATTATTACGATTGCTTTCCTTTTTATATTTTATGTCAATCAGTTTGAAGAGGCAACTAAATAGGAAATCATAACATTCAGTTAAATTTTCAAGATCTCCTCAATTCTTTGGAGGAAATTGAAAATTATGTCTCATACACCTTAGCTCCAGGAGAGATTCTCATTTTGTATAGGAAATTGCAGGTACTCTTGGCACTGTATTTTATACTCTCAATTTTATCCCCTTAGTTATTCATTGACGTTCCCTATTTTTTAATCTTTAATGTACGTATGATCAAAAGTTGATTATTTGCTTTGCATAATATGAAATTCAAACACAGTTAATTGGATGTATTTTTGTCAAACAGAACTATGCGCCATCGGGGTAGGAAGGTAGAGGGGGGCTTGGATTGGCGGCGGAACCGGGTGTCGGGCTCATTTGTTCCTATACTTGCAATGCTTTTCCATGGCACTTAGTTCCGTTTGACAGAATGCGGTATCCAGTTTTCTAAATTCCTCTAAAGGAACTCAAATTGGCGCTTAGTTCTGTTTGGCAGAAATACGTCCAATTGATGAACATAATTTAGGTCATCATGAATTTTAATGAATCCTTTCAGAATTCACTACTATCTTAATCTAATTTTATTTTAAAAGCAGCCCATAATAGATAATGGTTTAAAAAATAATACTTAAACTAATCAAACCAAGCAAAAATAGCACTATGCCATATCTTGGAATAAAAAGAGCTTAAAGAAGGTAGTTTTGAACTTAACTAGTCATATATTCTGTCCTGTCCAAGATTCAAAATTTTACTTTGAATGTGTAATTGGTGTAAAACCTCATGCGCATTCAAAATTAAGTCTTGGGAAGGAATAAATGTTCCAATCTATCTGTCTTTGTTCCAACTTGATGTAGGTAGCTTAGTTTACCTCTGCTTAGCACACTCCAAATGACCATTAGATTCCTTTTATGATGAGGAAAGAGAGCTGCAACAGAAATTATTGCACGTTTGCCATCCTTATTATCTTTGAGTTTGCAATCTGTTTTGGTTAGTGGTAACTTACTCATTGTTTTTCCTCTTTTTTATGTAATTTTTATAATATGTTAAAGTAGTCTTAGTCAATTTGCATTTATTATTTTTTGTTATATGAAATGTTAAGTATTAAGTAGGTATGTAAAAAATTGTTCCTGCGATACATTAGTCAAACAATGTAAAACAGGGAAACCTTCAATATTTGACATTTTGTAAAATTATCCCGATGGAGACTTCAATACCTAACGTTAGAAAACTATTTTTACCATTTATTCAATGATTTATAATGTTAATTGATGTTTTGTACAGAGGTATTTGTTGTGTCTGGATGACCAAGTTATTTTGAACAAAATGAACTCCATTTTATTTCTCATATTTCCGTTTTCTTCATCTACCTATCATAAGTTTCATTTCATTACCTATCTATGAAATCCTGTGCATTGGATTCATTCATTATATACTCTTAACTCTTAGATGCCCAAGCTGGGTCAAAAGTAACCTGAAGCTTGCTAAAAGCACCTGCCCAGGGAGTTGTACCATTTTATGGAGCTGATACATTTCATGTTTTCCTGAATTCTGAGGATATGGAAGCATGAGGGTGAGGGTGGATTTCCCATTGCCGTTCGTGGTTTGACATTGATTACTGCCGTGATAGCGAATAGAACGCCCAAGTGCGAAAATTAAGTTTTGAGAAAATGGGCCCAGTTCTGCTGGGGAAAACCCAGGGCCTCATCGGGGCAGGAAGCGCTTCTCTGTGTTTTTTAAGAGTAATTTCAACGCTTCGGTTCAGCCGACGACGCTGGTGCAAGTTTCCACGCTTTAAAGAAATTTTTTGAGTCTAAAAAGAAGATGGTATAGAGTTTCATATTCATTTGCGTTGAGGGGGAGTGCTCCTTCCCTTTTTTACCAGAATTGTAAAACTTAGGTATAATAACATTAATATATAACTATACTTTTTCCTTCATTCATGTGATTCCTGCAAATCCTCACATTCTAAGTGTTTTCATTCCTGAAGAAGAATTCAAAATATTTAAAAAAAAAGTTAATAATATTAATTGATTACAGGAAAATTGGAAGAATTCTCTTGTATCGTTACAATTAATGAATTCAGTGTTTATAGTTGAGGAAATTAGCTTAAAATTACACCTTACATAATCTGGATTTTCAAAATTTTCCGGGGGAGGGGCTCAGAAAAACAATTATCATCCCTAGAACCTCGAGCTAGGCCGACACTCCCCCGGACAACTCGGAATATGTGTGCCTTACTTTCAGAGTTTTGAGATGCTCCTATACCTAATGAAAGTCAGCCTCTGCAGTCGAACATTATTATCCTTTGGACTCGTTGAAAATTTATGAGGAGGCTGAATTTGACCGTATACCGATTCAAGATTGGAATCAGGATTCACCAGAATGCAGCCATGCGAAATAGAGGAAAGCCGAATGACGCTTTAGACGTTATCAAATTTCCCTTGATTAAATACGAATTTTCGGGGAAATCTGTGAATATTTCTCCTCTCGTTTTTCAAATAATTTTTTTCGCAATCAGATCTAAATTATCTAAAAATTTCAAACAAAATAATGAAAAAATTCTCATGATGCACCCTACTGACAGGCGTTGCTAGGAGGGTCCTGGAGGGGGGGGCTGCCCC